ACCCATTACTAATAATCTGTGTGGCAGCACGAGGTGGTGTCTTACCAGGAAAGATTTAGCATGTCTGACCTGCGTCCATCTTGGGCTGGAGCTTCATCGCGTCTGACTCAGAGAGGAGCGGCATGGCGTCTGACTCACTTCCCTTCTTGCCAGCATTCTGTTCTGTCTACTCCACCTATCTAATTTTCTGACCTATCACGCCAAGCAGTTTTCTTTATTGATTAACCAATGAAACAACAGATTGACAATGACCTTCCCACATCATTAAGCATTGACTTGTAGTATTTCCCAATTTCTGTGGCACACGTACTCCCACTGTGGTTAGTGTTATGTGTCTACTTGCCTGACCTATGAGATGCCCAAACAGCCTCTAAAGCATTTGTGTATATGTCTGTGGCTTCTTCATGAACAACTCGTGCTCTTGGTCACTGGAGTTCCTGGCTCTTCAGTTCTTGGCCTTCAGGGCTTACCCAACACATGGATCTATTGCTCTGCCCAAATTCTCAAAACTCTAGACTGGATTACAGTGCTGGCTTTCCTAGTTCTCCAGCTTGCAGATGGAGAGGAAAGTTTTAGGTTGCCATAACCTTGTGAACCAATTTTCGTATGAATCTCTTCTTACAGTATCAATGGTTAGACTGGACCACTTTTGAAAATTATGTGAAAGCAATACACATGCCTTGGAGATCATACTCGGGATTTTGATCTTCTCCCCAGATTAGTGATACCTGGTAAGATATTATCTTGAGATTTTGGTGGTAACCAGTTTTCTACAGTGTGCTTACTGTGTGTGTGTGTGTGTGTGTGTGTGTGTGTGCTGCTCAGCAGGTGTTTGTGAGGGTAGGCATTGAAAATATATTTCAAATTATGATATTCTTGATGACTGTGGTTCTTACTCTCCATTGTCAACTTTACTGGATTTACAATCACCATGGAAACCCATCTCTGGGTGTATTCATCAGCTTGTTTCCACAAAGGGTTAAGCGAATGGTAAGATGTAGGCTGGCTAGGGGCAGTGCCATCCCAGGGGCTGCAAGGAGAAAATGAGCTGGGCACTGACGCTCACCTCTCTCTACTTCCTAACTGTAGATGGCATGTGACCCGCTACTTCGTGCTTTTACTGCCACGCTTTCTGCGTGCAGTGAGTTGTAGCCCCTCAAACTGTTGGCCAAAATAAAATTTTCTTTCCAGAAATTGCTTCTTGTCAGGTCATTGGTTGCAGGAACAAGAACAACTGACACAGGGGGTTTATGGGATACAGCCTCCTTGTAATAAGAAGAAAATTGATAGTATCTATCTGTATCCCGGTGGTTCTGTTCTTCTGGAGTACACATGGTCCAGCCTATGATTGATTTCAAACTACTAACGTGACATAGTCAACCAAGAAGTTGGTGAGAGATCCCTGCCTCAAAGATACAGATGTCATACATCCAAGAGCACAAGTAGTAAAATCATGAGCAGACAATAGGTTCTGTGTACTTGTTACCTACACCTGTAATGTTTAATTGTAGATAAGCTTACTTAAATTTTAATAAGAGCTATGCTCAACAACCGATTCACAAAATTCCTTAACAGTCTCTTGTGCATTAATACTGACCAGTCTGGTTCCAGCATGCACTGAAATGGCATCTATCATTCTTAAATTCACAGTTTATTCCCAGAGTCTTGGAGAGACTGATTTCTGTTTCCTAAAGAAGGGAGAAGGGCCTCTGCTCTGGACTGGATTTTGTATCTGCTCATAGTTACATTTAACAAAACATCCATGTAAATGTGGCTGGACTCAAAGGGAGCCTGACCACTTTCTGTTAGATTGTCAGAAATCTCACTGGAGAGGAGACAGGACCCTAACATGGCACCCATGGCAATGCTGCAGTACACAGACACACAGACGCACGACTCCTCCTGTCCTCTCTCCCTCAAGATAGAACACAGACTGTGTTTCTGACTTACCCCTTTCCTGTAGTGAGATTATGAAACAATAGACCACCAGTTCGCGATGTGTGGCCCATGGGTCAGCAGCAGCTGCCTCACTTGGAAATTCCAGAGTATGGAAACCAGCAGTTTATGATTAAAAACACCCAACAGGTTATTACGGGACATGCCAAAGATTGAGACCTACTCTGTGTGATTATTTATCCCTTCTTTTTAATAAGTTATGTTTTATCCATTAGAATTACAACAAAACAAACATAGGTCATCCTGATAACATTCGTTATTTCCCTCCAGTCTCCAGAACTGACAGATAATTTCTTAGAATGCATGACTCCTCCCAAGGGAGAATCTCATCAACCATGCATTGATTTATATACTTCATCTTTCAGAAGAGAATTGTTTTTTAACTTCTGTGAATACTATGGCCCATATGCATCACTGAACCATAAAACCTGACAACATCTAAGCTTCCAGAGCCTAGTCTGTGCCCTGCAAGTCACTGGTACCTTCTTCACAGGTGGAGCTATGCTTTGGCACTGGGTTTGGGCTATAGCACTTAAAGGAGTGAAGAGGTTGTGTCAGACCCTGGAGAAGTCAATCAAATGGTCACAAGTACTTTGAAATATTATTTTCCTACCCTCCCCCCGATGTCTTATATAAGAATTACTTAAAATTGATCATGTTTAATTTCAAAAGTAAATAGGTAGGGGAAACTATTTAAAAATTTCAGTAATATATAAAGCAGGAGATGATTGACAACTGATTTTTTCCAAGTTATGAAATTTGTGCCAAATTCTGGCAAAAAAAGAAGGTGCTTATAACTCACCAGTGGATCTACTGCCTATGTAACAACTTTATCTTGGCTTATTTCCTTCTAATAACTTTATTTCTGTGTTTTGTTATTCACTGGAGAGTTTATGCTATATTTACTTATATTTTAAAGTATCCATTTATTTGTGTGTTTATGAAAGGGCAAGCACGTGCATACATGCATGCATGCGTGTGTGTGCATGTGTATGTGTGTGTGTGTGTTTTGAGGTTGAAGCATAGCCCTTGAGAGTTGATTCTCCTGGAGGATTCAGGGATCAAAGTCAGCCTGGAAGGCCCACGCACAAGCCCGTCCACCTGCTGGGTCATCTTGCTGTTCTTACAGGCTATCCTGACACATTCATTATTCTACTTTCAAAAGAAAGCCTATTATGAGCATAGCCTTCACTGAGTATTTTTTGAAATGTAGTTTCATATTATTCATTTGTGTCTATGCCCTGTAATTTAGCCATCCCCCAATGTAGGAACTTTGGTTTATAGCTAATGTCTCACTTTTAACGTAGCATTTGTGGTGGACTGCTGTGATATTTTCTAGCTAGCAGAAGGGACATATTCCTCGAATGGCTTCTTAGCGCTCCTGACCATCTTCCGCTCCCTCCTCTGTATTGCAGTTTAAATTGCTCCTGGGTTTGCTCCTTCAAGTATTCACCTCTTTCATTCTTGGATCACAGCCCCTCATAACGATTTAACACATTTGCATAAACAGAAAAATCAAAGTTGGAGATTGAAAAGGAACTGGTACCTTCTGATATTAGTACTTTGGATACTTGTACGCCAATAGTGTCCCATCCTGTCAGCAAAGCCTTTGTGTTCTCTGTGAACCCTCACTTTTAGTATCAGTCGTGCCTACACTTCAGGTTTGGGTGCTACAGTCTCTAGTTCCTAAACAGGAAGAATGCTGATAAATGGTTTGAGCCATGGCAACAAATATGCATACAGGAATGTTAGCAGGTTCGATCCACGGACGTTTATTTTGTGAAGTCCCTTGAGTTTTCAAAAACTCTAAAAATCAACAAGGCATTTTAAATTAGAGTGTGAGTCATCTTCCTATGTTGGCTTGTTCCTGGCAGAAGTCAGGAAGTTCCTGGCATCTTTTAGTTTAAAAAAAAAAACTAACTTTACTGTACATTTACTGTACACATTTACTGTACATTTGCATGTATGTGCACCTGTGCATAGAGACACACGTGTGTGCTGTGATATGGATGTGGTCCAGGGATTGAACTCAGGTCATCAGGTTTGGCAGCAAGGGCCTTTAGCTGTTCAGTCCTCTTGCTGGCTGTCTTTTAGATGAAATCTCTCTCTCTCTCTCTCTCTCTCTCTCTCTCTCTCTCTCTCCCTCTCTCCTTCTCTCCCTCCCTCCCACGCACGCACGCACGCGCGCGCACACACACACTATAAAACTTTCCCTAAACTGAAAACGAGCAATCCTTTTGGTTTCTATTTTGATAAACCATCTCACCTAGAGTCAAGTTTGAATGATATTTCTTTCCATATGGAACAGGAAAAAGTAACACAAAATATTGTTGAATTATGACAATGAAACAAGCTTTCATAGCTTGGAACCAAAAATAAATATATTATAAATCATTTGAGGATTGAGAAAAAATCTCTACCAAGTGTGGTGGTGCTCTCTGAAGTTGAAGAAGGAAGAGTCCTTTGATAATCAGGAGTCTGAGACCAGCCCAGGCAATATAGTGAGTCCCATCAAAATAAAAACAAACCAGAATAAAATTTCAATATACTTTTTTCTTAGATTGGTTTTTAAGAAAGAATGATATATCGCCAATACATCATCGAAAACCTTGATTGCTGAATACATAACCAGAAAGCAGCATAAAATTACAGAACATTGAACAGATAATTAATGAATACTGCCATTTTGATACTAGTATTATTCATATTTTTCTCATTCACTAGTATGTTCAACTTCTTGGCATGCCAGTAACGCGAGAAAGTATGAAGCAAACTTCTAATAAGATCTTGCCTTACACAATTGAGAAGTCTACAAGGAGCCTTCAAACAAGCAGGTTCAACGGGCATAATAACAATTAAAAAGGAGACAAACCGACAAGGACGCCTGGCTTTTGTTCTTTTCTACCTGTCTACCAAAATCACAAGAGAGTAACCGGAGGGTGACGCTAGGGGGCACCAATACCCAGCGACTTCACTGGCGTCGGCGGGGATGGGCGTGAGGCCGCTCCCTTCTGTCCTCTCGTTCATCTTGACTTCCGCCGGAAGCGGCTCCGGTAGTTGTTGTCCTCTGATATTTGGGCTCCGGTTGTACGGCGGTTCGTCCCGCCTGCGGGGGTGAAGTTACTGCCGAGAAGCCGTGACGGCAAAGTGGAGCCGTCACTGGCGGCGAGATGGACATCCTCAAGTCGGAGATTCTGCGGAAGCGGCAGCTGGTGGAGGACCGGAACCTGCTAGTGGTGAGGGCCCTTTGGCTGTGGAGTTTGGACTCGAGGCTCGTGTTCTTGTGCGTGGATGGGTGTCGGGGTGAGGGTGATGGACTGAGAGGAGTTGGTCCCGGCGTGGGGTTGACTGATCTGCCACACTGGGGCGGTTGTCAACCAATAGCTAGGAAGAGTGGGTTTGAACCCTGGTCTGGGTCACTTCAGCGCTTGCTCTCCTAACCGACACCAGCGCTGTAGGTAGAATAATGAAAACAACTTCGGGCCGTGAGACGTTCCAGGTCACGTTGCGGAGAGTCAGTACGGTTTACTAAGCAGTCTGGCACACGTCACAGAGTTCACTGCTTATCTGTTCCTCTTTGTTTGTGTACAAAAGTTTTTATGTGCGGCTCCGGTGTCTTCCCACCTTGATTTCGCCTGCTATAGAATTTCACATAAATAGGATGTACATTTTTATATGGAGTCTCATTTGATCAGAGTGCATTTTTTTTATTTATTTCTGAAGTTGCATTCTGTTGTCTGAATAGACCCAGTTAGCCATCTTCCTAGTGATGAGTATTTGAGCTGTTTCTAAGATTAGATTGAGCAAATTCCAACCTTCGGGAAGCTTTGTTTTCATCTCTTTAGAACTGCTACGTTATAGAGTGGGTTAATAGATTGGGCTATCAGTTATTTCATTAATGGTCCCTTTCGATGAATAAAAGTTGTGTGTGTTTCAGAAGACAGACAAGCCATTTATATTTATGGATGAGGGAGCATGGCAGGGGCCCTTGGGCTCATCAACAAAAAGGCAATCAGGATAGATTGGAAATAGCCTGGTAGGGTGTGTATAGGGGGATGATCAGGAACCAGAGAGATGGGCATAGATGCGACTTAAAATTCCAGGAAAGAGGCCGGGGCGATGGTGGTGCACACCTTTAATCCCAGCACTCGGGAGGCAGAGACAGGCGGATCTCTGTGAGTTCGAGACCAGCCTAGTTCCAGGACAGGCTCCAAAGCCACAGAGAAACCCTGTCTCGAAAAAACAAAAACAAACAAACAAACAACAACAACAACAAAAAAAATTCCAGGAGAGAAAATTGGGAGCAGATCACCAATCCTCCAGATGGAAGGTAACACCAGGAATCTGAGTAGGGGTGTGTGTGTGTGTGTGTGTGTGTGTGTGTTCTTGTTCATGTCCCTGTCACTGTGTGTCCGTGTCCCTAGCCGCACAGTGGTGAGGCCTTCACTAATGCTTAGGCATAGGCACCCTACACTATTTCAGCCATACCAGGAAACACTCCCAGGCCCAGCATGCTGACCACCGGCTTCGACTTTTGACCGCCCTTTGCTCTGGATCCCAGCCATTTCCTCACTCTGGTGGCCTCAGAGCTGACAGCAACTCCTTTGCTTTCCCTATGCAGCCTGTATAGATGACAGATGCCAGTATACCCAGACCTGCGTGTGCCAGGGCAGGATGGTGTCAGCCAGCTGTTTCCTTGCTCGCGCTCTCTATAGCTGCTTGTCAGGTGCTGGTGGGTGTGGACTTGACTGCACCCAGCCAGGGTGACATCAGCCAGCTGCTGGAGCCTGGTCTCCTGTTCTGTACAAGGTACTGCTGGGTGCTCAGAGCTCCAGGAAGTAGGGACCATGGGATTCCCCTGGGTCTCCAAGGTGTTTCTCTATGGTCTTATCCAAGCAGTTCATGACAGCTTCCAGGTCCCCTTCCTCTTGATTTCTGAACTTGCCTTGGGTCATGAACTTGCCTTAAATCCTCTGCAGCATTTCTGGCTGCACCGGTAGAAGTATTTGAAACTGTTCGTGAATCTTGTAGCTGCTCGTGGCAGCTTCTGATGACGCATATCCACCATGGTGTCCAGGGTGAACCTTGAGGTGGCAGCACCAGGCACCAGTTAAGAATGTGATCCCGTAGACCTTCTCCACAGCCACTGCCGGACTAGCATTGCTTGTTTTGGCCGTGTGGAATCACCGCCAGTTGACTTTGATAGAGCACAGTTTGTTTCTGTCCTCACCCTCTACCTTCCTCCCTCTCTGTCAGTTCTTGCTATGTATGCAGTCTTGCTTTATCATCCAGGTTGACTTTGAATTGATGCCTCAGCCTCCCAAGGGCTGCAGTCCTGTACCTGTCTTCAGTTTGTCATTTATTTAATGGTTATTTCCTGTGTCTTGTTGGGAGATTAAAACAGTGTAACCAGGTGGAAAGTAGATGAGCAGTTTCTTAAAAGTTATGTGAACCTTTGGCCCGTGAGCCAGCCCTTCTGCTTACTTGAGATGTTTAGTAAACTATAAAGGTGGCATCTTCTGAAAGTTCATAGTCTTTTATGGAATGCTGCTTATTTCAGAACATTTTGAGTCAGATTTTCATGTGATGCCAAGGAGGAGTTATCACAAGTGAAACCCAGAATTGATACGGTGAGACTGGTTCCAGGGGAGGAGACCTTACACATTCTTTTCAGCGCCCATATTGATGAGAGCTCCTGAACTGGCGCTCTACGCCGTAATTTCTGTTCTGGTCAGGAGAAAATAGCAAAGGGATAGCTCTGTGTTGTTAGTCGTAAATCTGTAGAAATTGACGTTGAACTCAGATGTTAGGAAAGTGAATGAAAAGGAAAAACATTTTAAAAATACACTTGGTATATTCTCTTTGCTGTGAGAACTCCTATTACAGTTCAAGAGAAATAGCTGAAAATTTATCACACATCAGAACACAGGGACTCAATGTGATGATCTCCAGACTAAAAACATGACCAGATTCTTGGAAACTGAAAGTGTTTTCAAAGGTTTCTAAGAGTGTTGGTATCTATGGGGCATGCATTTCTGCCAAAGATACGTTATTAACTTACTGTTTTTTGTTTTTGTTTTTGTTTTTTTACTTTGATAGGAAAATAAAAAATATTTCAAGCGGAGTGAACTTGCAAAAAAAGAAGAAGAAGCATATTTTGAAAGATGTGGCTATAAGGTATAAGTTCAAGGTTTTATGCTAAATCTAACATTTCTTAAATTTATGCAGCTGTTGCTAAATAACAAAATTATTGATCTCTGTTCAATTTATCAATGTTATACATTAGCCTATAAATGAGAAGCCATCTGGAGAGGTATGAGTTTTTGGTTTTGGTTTGGCTTAAAAAACAGATCTTGAATTCAGGAAAATACGTGCATGACTTTTGGCTTGGAATGGTTTGGCTTTCTGTGGACAGCATGAACTGGCTTGAGATCGAAGCTTGAATTTTTTTTTTTTTTTTAATTAAGCCCTGGTTCTGATACTGCCGTATCTTCATCTCCACCACCACTCTCCCCTACCTCTCCCAATAAAATAATGTGTTTTGAAAAAACTCAAAACACTTTATTCATTCAGCCTTGATTGTATTAGCAGCTTCCTCCTGAGTACTTTAAGCGGTTGGTTTATGTTAGTATTATTGTTAATTCCTCTTAGGCCCAGCTAGTACTCTTGTCTGATGGAATACTTACCCTCTGTATGCTTTTGTTTCTTTTAAACATGAGGAAACATTTGTGATGCTGTATAGTCTCTTAGTCAGAAGAAGAATTTTGAAATAAATGAGCTCTCAGAAAGGCCTCCTTAGTGACCTTTAGATGCATGACTGAAACAGTCTTTCAAGCTGATAATGTCTGGGGCGCTCACTGGAAGGGGAAAACCTGTAAGGCTGAGAAGTCCTTTCAGTCGTCTTCCAGCAGACTAGCTGACTCTTAGCTCACAGGTAACGGGCCAACCGAAATATACGCAGTCATCCATTTGTTGGTGGAATGCATGGAATGGAGGAAGTTCTGGAAATGAATTTGTATAGCATTTCTAGAGGAAAGCATGAAGAATGTAGATGCTTTCCATATGCATTTGGCTTCAGTTTTTACTGTTGGAATACAAAGGAATATTTTTAAAGATAGATGTTTAAAAGTTTCTATTTGTATTTTGTTAGTTTTCTATGAAGATATTTTATTTGCTTCTAGTTTAGGAAAGTAGAAGACGTTTTCTATAAATAACCCTGAGCAGAAATGTAGAAAGAAGGGTTCTCACATTTTGCTTGCCCAGTATCATGCCCAGGCATGGCCTGGAATGAGAATCCTTTATTATACATTTCTCTGCTGACTTGATCTCTAAGTGTGAACCTTTGCTACCTTTGGAGAAGGTAGGGTAATAATCTAATTAGTGTGACTTTTGCTTTGTGTAGGTCCTTTTGGTGATGTGAGCAGGGTTTTTTGTTTGTTTTTGTTTTTCTGTTTCTTATATAAAGGAGAAGGGGGTGAAGCNATATATATATATATATATTTTGGCGACAGTGCTGTAGCCTTGAATCCAACTGCAGAATGGCTTAGGTCTTTGTCCCAGAACTGTCAGCGGCCATCAGCTCCTAGAGTGAAGACATCTGATTTCGTGATTAAAGGGAGGGGTGGCTTTGCTCTTTAACCCCTCCCCCCCCCAGTAGTGGCAGTAAAGTATGTGCTCCCTTGTAGAGGCCAGACACCATGTTAAGGCTGGTGCTGGACTGACCTGTGTAAGTATTCAAAAAGTTAGTTTTTAGTCTCTTTTTTTCTTTACCTTTAACCAGAAGCTATTGTGTTATGAATTGCATGATTTTTATTGTACAAACTTTCTTAATGGAATAGTAGTTTCTTAAAGCCTATCTTTATGTTTTGAATCTTAGTCCTACTTCTGAATTTTAAACTTATTTTGTGGTTGAATGGAAACCACATTTCAGGATGTTTCCAGGCTACACAGTGAGGTTTATAGTTGCTGGACTCAGTTTTCTCAGTTTGTGACTGAGACTGCTGCCCGAATATGGAAAATAGATGAAAACATCGCCCCCTGTCGGTTCCTGTGAGCAAAAGTGTCTGTGCTCCCTGGGTGGCATTGCAGGCTTCCTTCCTTTTCTTCGAGGTTGGCAGCTCATTCTGTGATCCAGTGTGCACAGCCCTCAGCATTCTTCAGCATGCCTAGGGTGTGGTTTATCCAAGGTTGGAGTAATACTTGGACGTGCTGTGGCTTGGTGCCCCACAGGCTGCTGGGAAGCAGTTCCTTAGCCTCCATTGTACAGGCTAGCAGCCATGGCTAACCCTGGAGGGAAATTTTCTCGCAGAGAAGAGACAGAGTGATTATTATCAAGAGGAAGGTGGGCTGTTCTAGCATCTGGGGAGAAATTGAGTTTAGATTTAAGCGCTCTTAGGTTTTTGTCTCAGAAGCGGTTGTAGTTATCCACTCCTTTCTAGCAAGAATGCGCTCGCCCATGTGCATGCCTTCCACGTGTCATGTTCCTGAACCGGTGTCTGAGCAGCTCCGAAAGCATGCACGGTTGCTCCGCAGCCTGCGCAGAGCAACAGGAAGTTAGACCTCAGTCTAACCACTCTTCCTCCATGTGGGTGGCTAAGGCGATAGCTGGTGAGTAGACATGCCTTGTAAGTTTAAACTTCATTTCTTTGGGCTCTTAACCTAGATACAGCCAAAAGAGGAAGACCAGAAACCGCTGACGTCATCAAATCCAGTGTTGGAACTTGAACTAGCAGAGGAAAAACTACCCATGACTCTTTCTAGGCAAGAGGTAAGGTTATATTTGAGTATTTTATAGTTAGAAAGAAAAACATTTGTACTGTATTTGTATAACTTTTGGTATTTCCAAAATGAGATGATTCGACTTAAAAATCTTGTGTGGCCAGACAGTTTTTTCATGAACTTCTAAATCTCTGCTTCCTTTGATAATATTCTTACTTCAGAATGAAACAGGAGCTGGAGGGGTGGCTTAGGTGTTAAAAGGCGTGGCTGCTTTTCCAGAGGACCAGAATTGGGTTTCCAGGCACACATGTATACAGACCTACACGCAGGGAAAACACGAATAAAACACCCTCCACATACACACTTTATCATTATTGTGTGAGTGTGTGATGCGTGTGGACGTGTGTGTTAGGACACACATGTGGAAGGCAGATGACAGCCTTGTGCAATTGGTTTTCACCTTCTACCTTCCCACAGGTCCCAGGCTCAAACCCAGGCCACCAGACTTGTGCATCAAGTGCCTTACTCCACCAGCCAGTAGTCTTTCTTTTTTAGAGAGTGTATTTTAAATACTTGACACAATCTAAGGAATTATACTAAATATTATCAAAATCGTTTAAATAATACTCTTTTGCTATTTATTTCATCTTTCCTTATTTCCTGGTCCATATTTTCAAATTAAAACATAGCTCTAAGTAACTTTTCTCCCTCTTTTTCTTTAGTGCTACATAGCTTTTAATGTCTGCTTAATTTCTCAACATGTATTTATGCACCGCACCATGATTTTTTCCTTCCTTGGAAGGCTGTCCTTGAATTCAGAGATCCACCCGCCTCTGCCTCCTGAGTGCTGGGATTAAAGGCATGTGCTACCACCATGCAGCCAATGATAGAATTCTTTTTTTTTTAAATTAAATTTAATTTTTTTATTAAAAATTTCCGCCTCCTCCCTGCCTCCCTTTTCCCTCCCCTCCCCCCTCTCCCCACTCCCCTCCCCCTCCCTCTTCAGTCCAAAGAGCAGTCAGGGTTCCCTGCCCTGTGGGCAGTCCAAGGTCCTCCCCCCTCCATCCAGGTCTAGGAAGGTGAGCATCCAAACAGGCTAGGTTCCCACAAAGCCAGTACATGCAGTAGGATCAAAACCCAGTGCCATTGTCCTTAGCTTCTCAGCAGCTCTCATTGTCCACGATATTCAGAGAATCCGGTTTTATCCCATGCTTTTTCAGTCCCAGTCCAGCTAGCCTTGGTGAGCTCCCAATAGATCAGCCCCACCGTCTCAGTGGGTGGGTGCACCCCTTGTGGTCCTGACTTCTTTGCTCATATTCTCCCTCCTTTTGCTCCTCATCGGGACATTGGGAGCTCAGTCCAGTGCTCCAATGTGGGTCTCTGTCTCTAGAATGATAGAATTCTTATACATTTTTTGAGGACAGATAGTTTATTCCCTGCCTTTAGGCATAACTACTGTCATATAATCCCAGATAGATGGGAATTCCCTACTTAAATAGATGCCGTAAGTATTGCATGTTTTATAGTTGCTTGCTTTGTTGTTAATAGTTTCCATTTGGTAATGGTGTTGTAATGTAAACTCAATTTTTTTTTATATTTTAGGTTCTTTAAATTTCTGACTCAGTGATCTTTCATTTTTGTAATACCTTAATAAATATGTGTGTGTGTTTTCGTGTCTAATTGTGGTTAGGACTGAATGGAAAGGCAGTGAGGAAGGCGAATGTGCACTGGGAGGTTATATTTCAGTCCTCATTCATGTGCTTGGGGTGGACACCACAGAGAAGGAAGGAGGCCTTCGAGGAAGTGTAGACTGACTTTTTTTTTTAGACTGACTCTTGAAGCTACCATATGAAAGCTAGAGATTTGAAAGTTTATCCAGATAAAGTTCTTCATGATTTTTATTTCTTATTTTTTAATTTAGATAAACCTTTATTTTCTCGATTGCATATTTTGTTTCTTGTTTTTAAGTGAAATATTTTCTCAAAGCATAGAATATGTGTATGTGCAGTGTATTGACTAATTACAAAACAAAACCCATGTAGCTATCAGCCAGGTCAAGATCTGACGTAGTTCCCATACTGTATTACATGTGGCCGTTTTAATCACAAGTCATTTCTTACGTGAGGACAGGATCTGGGTTTGACTGTGGTATCGCAGTGCCTACTCTTATTCTGCTCTTACTGTCCTCCCCCCATCATCGTGTTTTTCTTTTGTGACCGACCTACTGCGCATATTCCCCTACCTAAGACAGGACCTAAACTGCTTGTTGCTTAAAGTGTCATTATAACATATAGCATGTCTGTTGTATAAATCCTGGAAAAGCAAATACAGATTTTTGCATTTTTGTTTTTGTTTTTTGACACAGGGTTTCTGTGTAGCTTGGGAGTTTGTCCTGGCACTAGCTCTTGTCGACCATGCTAGCCCGGAACTCACAGAGATCTGCCTGCCTCTGCCTCCCAAGTGCTGGGATTAAAGGCATGTGCTGCCACCACCTGACCAGATTTTTGCTTTTTTAAACAATCTATATTTCAAAATAGTGTTTGGACACTAAAGTATGTATCCACACATGCTTTTAGAACGGCCTAAGCAGTCATAATCACATGAGATGAGGGCCAACAGTGTGTCCTTTATGCTATGTTCTGACAAGTGTATGGGCGTCTGTGTGTCTGTATAAACTGGATGCTTATATTAAGGGCTTGCTTTAGATTTGCATTAGAGATTCATATGTCAGACGACTTGATAGGAATTTTTTTTGTAAAATAATATATGGGATATTTGAGTCAAAATAGTGTTTTATTTAAAGTATTTTCCCCTTTCATTCACAAATATATGTTATGAGATAGATGATTAAAATTTGCTTGAAGGATCTTGGGACTGTCATACTGACTCTGAGCGTGCTTGCTTGTGGAGCCTCACAGCCTCAGTTGGTTCCTTGGGACCCACGTGGTGGACGGAGAGAACTGAATCCTCTGCACATGCTTCATGGTTGTCCGCCCTTGCAAATACATTTTAAAAAATTGAAGGACTTTATATTTCACTTAGAAACATTTATTTGGGTAATTATATTATACTTACAAACTTAGATTTCATTTTAAGATACGTACAGCAGCCGGGCGGTGGTGGCGCACGCCTTTAATCCCAGCACTCGGGAGACAGAGGCAGGCAGATCTCTGGGAGTTCGAGGCCAGCCTGGTCTACAAGAGCTAGTTCCAGGACAGGCTCCAAAGCTACAAGAGAAACCCTGTCTTGAAAAACCAAAAAAAAAAAAAAAAATACGTATATGCAAATTGTTTTGAGATGTTTAATTTTTTTCCCTTTTTGAAGTCTCCTTTGTATATTTTCATAGGTCATCAGAAGACTGAGAGAAAGAGGAGAACCAATTAGACTGTTTGGAGAAACCGATTATGATGCTTTCCAACGTTTAAGAAAGATAGAGATTCTTACACCTGAAGTTAACAAGGTGAGAAGTCAAAGCTACAGACAGAACGGCACCACGTAAACTGGAGTAGATGGGCTTTAATGGATTGTGTTATTGTAGGCGAGTACGGGAACAGTGTGGGTATGGGACGGTACTGCGGGAGCTGTGGCAGAGTGAGATCTGACTGACCGCACTATTGTAGGCGAATAGGAGGAAATAGTGTCCGCTTAGTGCTGCTGAAATAACTGTTTTTAAGGGAAGTGTAATTTAAGCATTGCATTCGGTCTATTTTAACAAATACACGTGAGCATATAAGGATAAAGAATATAAAGCCGGGCGGTGGTGGTGCACGCCTTTAATCCCAGCACTCGGGAGGCAGAGGCAGGTGGATCTCTGTGAGTTCCAGGCCATCCTGGTCTACAAGAGCTAGTTCCAGGACGGGCTCCAAAAAACCACAGAGAAACCCTGTCTCGAAAAACAAAAACAAAACAAAAAAAAAGAATATATTTATCACCCAATGCCTTGTCCCATCTCTGCTCACAGGCAGGATCTTTCTGAATTAAGACACCGTGAATTGAGTTTTGCTTCCTGCTTTTGTATTTTCATTTTTAGTGTTTCATATGGAGAGACCCAAGAGTGACTATTTAGTTTCTTTTGCTCAGCATGACATTTTTTAAAGTGCTATCTTTGCTATGGAGGACAGTTATACTTAGTGATGGGTGCTGTCTTTTCCTTACATTAAGAAACATACCATGTGTGCATTATTCGAACAATAAAATCACTAAAAATATGAGGCTGGATCAATAATTTTTCTTATAAAAGCCATTATAAGGTTGCAAAAAACAAATTACAAGAATCTTCAAATAAATATTGCACAGTAATACAAGCATGCCATTGTTCTGAAATTGTGCTTCAAGTAAATTAGCATTATTCTTCAAAACAAACGAGAGAATGGATTGATACAGTGGACCCTTGCTTGGTGTTCTTGTGGGGATCCACCACAGTGGGAGCAGGTGGATCTCCGACTTCTTTGCCTGTTCCCGGGATTCCTCCCTTCCCTTGGGCACCTTCTAGCCTCCACATGAGAGGGTCTTTGCCTTCTCTCTTTGCTTCTTGCTCTGTCCTGTTTGGCTGTTGTCTTCTGAGGGCCTGCTGTCCTCCATAGAGGAAATGGAGTGGGGAGTAGCTACAGGGGAGGGGGGGGAGCTTTGTTATTAGAACATAGTGGCATTAATGATACAGATTTTTAGATTTGTAACTCATGTCTGTTTTCATTTTTCCTAGCATTAGACTGGATAATGCTGTTTTAAAATACATTGTTTTAAATATGTTTATCATAATTAACTTTTGAGTGATACTAGTGTCAGTATATTGCATTGGATTTGTTTGAGTCCCTAGTTTTGACAAGCTCTTAACATGCAGTGTACTTTTCGGGGTGAGATTTGGGAGGGGAAGTTGAGACAAGTTCTCATGTAGCCCAGGCTGGTCTTGAACTGACTCATCTGGTCCTCCTGCCTCTACCTCCCATGACTCGTCTCTAGGGTACTGGGGAGCTTTGTGCATGTTAGGCCAGCACTCTGCTGACTGAGCCGCGTCTCAGCTTGGAGTGTACTTGATATCAGCAGAAGATCACAGATCACACCCAGTGAGGTTTCCTGACAGGCACCCTTCTGGTTCTCGCCTTCTGTAGGGCTTAAGGAATGATCTGAAAGCAGCTTTGGACAAGATTGACCAGCAGTACTTGAATGAGATTGTGGGTGGTCAGGAACCGGGAGAGGAGGACACACAGAATGACTTGAAAGTTCATGAAGAAAACACCACCATTGAAGAATTAGAGGTAATCTCTACCCCAGCCCAGGCTGTTTCCCGCGTCTCTTCCTCCTTGGGAACAGTGTTCCTGCACAGCGTACTCCTTTGTCGTTGAAGGCACTTTATTGGTTTAGGTCTCTGTTTTTCTTTTTCTCATTCACTTACATTTCTGTACTTCCCGCCGTTAGAAATCATCATTGGAATGTTTGATGTGTATCCTTTACTTGCTGTGGTGCTCTTTAAAGATCGTAGTTTTTATGCACGGATAACGTAATAACCGTGTTGTGTAATCTTTATCTTATTGCATACTGTTAAGATCCATGCGTGTTTTTTTTTTCTTTGAATTGGCTAAATATTATGGCATTCCTGTATTTTAGTGTCCTTGTTATAGTGGACAGCTTGGCTGTTCTCAGCTCCTTCTTACCCACAGACAAGGGCTGAAGCAGAATCATGGAGCTTAAGCACACATATTTAATTTGTCTGTGTACAGCCAAGCTGCTCTCTGGCATGGTGTCCCAGTATATAACCCTACTAGCAGCACATGAGGGGCTGTGCCTTGTGTTGCTGCCATTACCCAGCACTGATTTTGTCACTGTGTTGCATGTAGAATATGTGTAGTCTTTATGAAGAAACAATATTGCCTCATGTAAGTGACTAGCGTGTAACAAATACAGCTTACAGGTTTTTTCCTTGAATACAACATAAGCTATTATTTCTGTTTTCTTAGTTTCTGGCTCCGGGACATGTAGTGATCTCACTAGAGATCATGGTTGAGAAAGTTGTCTTTTGACTGTCCTTCCCCTCCCATCACTTGCTTAAGGTGGTTTGTAACTTTTGCGTAAATGACTGGACTGAGCAATCACTGTCAGTCAGGCTCCTTCCCTCCTTCCCAATCTTAAGATATTTGTAGCCTATACAGTTTACCCAAATAAAGTGTCTAATTGAGTGGCTTATAGTCCACATCCACAGGGTGTTGTCACCACCAGCACAATCCGACGTTAGGCCATTTTTACCTGCCTAGGAGAAATGCCCAGATCTGTTAACAGTCACTGATATTTTATATTAAATTTACAAAATTGGGGCCAGCAAGGTGGCTCAGCTGTTAAGAATACCGTGCACTGCTCTTGCAAGTGTGGTTCCCAGCACCCTTGTTGAGCTCTGGTCTCTGTAAACATCTGCTCTCATGCGCATATCCAAACAGAGATACGTAGCTAAAAATAATGAAAGCCTTTACGATGTTTTGAACTATCATTGTGGGCATATATGGTGTGTGCATGTTTGGTAGGGGTCACCTGCCACTGTGTGGTGTGGACTCGATTCTCTCTGTCCACCTTTATTGGGTTCTGAGACTTGAACTCAGCTTGTCAGGCTTGCCTCGTCAGACACCTGTTGCCTTTACCCGCTGAGCCTTCTTGCTGACTCTTCTTATCTTTCCAGTTCATAAAAGGCAGCACAGTCTCCAAATAGAAACATGCAGCAGGTTTTTTGGGGCATGACTTGTCTAGAAGTTTCAACAAATTCTAAAATAAAAATTGACCAATATGTGTAATAAGCCTCTTTTAATCTGTTGTTGGTCATGCACACATTTTTATACACCTTTGAAAAACTGCTCTGTGGTAGTGAACAGAACAATTATTCTTTCTCTTCAGGCCCTGGGGGAGTCCTTAGGGAAAGGTGACGATCATAAGGACATGGACATCATCACCAAGTTCCTAAAGGTACGTACTTAGGGAAGGAGAGCACTGTGGACATGTAAGAAGCAGTCTTACATTTGAGGATATATTTCAGGCAGGGTAACTGTCAACATTTGTACTTGTTGTGTAAGTACCTGGCACTAATTGGCTGTGCCGCTGGAGCCTCTCTCGCTATCTATACAGTGGTTACTGAGTGTTTACCTTCTTTATGGTACTTTCCTTAAAAGTCGTAAAATGATCTCTGCAGTAGAGTGAGGTCTCTTGTCCGCTGTAAATACCCTAGAGAGAAGTGCCACCGAGGTGATCCAGTGGCTATTATGGGAGGGTGGGGGAAGGGCATTGACAGTGCAAAAGTAAACAGATTTAATGTTTCAGCAAGGTTCATTTCTTGAGTTCTGTGTCTAGTTGCTTATTTTTGCTGACTTACTAGTTCTGTACTTGCTGTCAGCATTTCTTTGTAGTTATCTAGGTAGAGTGTGGTCAAATCCTAAATCATTTAAATATTTGTTCACATACTTGGAGATTCAATGCAAAGAGTGTTTTTATTTGTATTTACATTTTTATTTTACTTAGTTTGTTATTATTTATGTTTTTTTTTCAAGACAAGGTTTCTCTGTGTAGTCCTGACTGTTCTTTGTTGGTGCAAGTTTTCTGTCTCAACTGCTCAGTCCCAAGTGATGGGCAGCTGCTTCCTAAATTACCGCACAGAGGCTTAATATTATTTATAAATGCTTGACCCACTAGCTCAGACTTATTATTAACTAGCTCTTACATTTTAAGTTAACCCATATTCCTTATTTTTGCTCTGCCATGTGGCAGTACCCTTTCTCATTATGGCGTTCCCATCTTGCTCCCTCTGCATCCAGCCTGCGTCTCCTGACTCTGCCCTTCTCCTTCCTGTTTTTAAATATTTATTTATTTACTTATTATGTATACAATATTCTGTCTGCATGTATGTATGCCTGCAGGCCGGAAGAGGGCACCCAACCTCATTACAGATGGTTGTGAGCCACCATGTGGTTGTTGGGAATTGAACTCAGGACCTCTGGAAGAGCAGGCAGTGCTCTTAACCGCTGAGCCATCTCTCCAGCCCCTCCTGTCATCTTTAATTTGTTTGCCCTGCCTATGCTTCCTGCCTGACTACTGGCCAGTCCGCGTTTTATTAAACCAATTTGAGTGACAAATCTTTATAGTATATAAGAGGATTATTCCACAACAGTTCTGGAACTTGTTCTGTAGACCAGGCTGGCCTGGAATTCAAGGGAATCCTCCTGCCTCTGCCTCCCAAGTGGTTGATTAAAGGTGTGTGCTGTAACTACCCAGCTAAGGTACTTATGTTTTGAATACAACATTTTAGTTGTCAAGGTTCTAGAATATATTTAGGACACAGTATAGAACTAGACAGTGGGCAGCAGCGCGCAGCTTTCCTCGTTGACGGTCTGTCCTCATGTCTGAACGCATCACCGTCACTGTCACCCGCTGTGTTTTATGTTTGTTCCTTTTCTTCTTCCTTTACCATTAGTTGTTGGGTGTGTTGGTGGGATTTTTTAGTTGGATTTTCTGTTTTCTGTAGGTAGAAAGTCCAAGTAAGATATAACATACTTCAAACATTGATCAAATACCAAAATATGTATAATATAGATCTATGGTTCTCAGCCTTCCTAATGATGTAACCTCATGTTGTGTTGACCCCAACTGTAAAATTATTTTTGTTACTACTTCATAACTTTAATTTTGCTGCTATTATGAATCATAAATACCTGATAAACAGGATATCTGATATGTGACCCCTGTTGAGACGCCCTGGTTGAGAAACGCAGGTATAGATGATAAATCTAGATTAGTTGAACTGTGTGTAAGGAGTACAGGTAAAAAAATACAGTGTTAAGGAATTCGATGGCTCTTTTTTGAAGAAACGGACCATCTTCACATGTTGTGATATATGAACTAGGGGTGTTTTCTACTTTGAAACACGTCAAACAGCTGTTAATTAAATCTTACTTGATGACAATTTAATCAGCGAGATTGTCTTCTAAGAATGTATACCTTCGCTCTGTTAGGGAGCTATTCTACCCGAACCACTGGGTGGCGTTGCAGCCTTAACTTTTTCTGTCAACAGTTTCTTCTTGGCGTTTGGGCTAAAGAATTGAATGCCAGAGAGGATTATGTGAAACGCAGCGTGCAGGGCAAACTGAACAGTGCTACCCAGAAGCAGACCGAGTCCTACCTCAGGCCGCTCTTCAGGAAGCTCCGGAAAAGGGTAAGGCTTCTGGAAAGTACTTCATTAGCAAGTGATTGTCTTTTTTCCTTTTCGGTTTTTCAAGACAGGGTTTCTCTGTGTAACAGTCCTAGCTGTCCTAGAACTAGTTCTTGTAGACCAGGCCGGCCTCAAATTTACAGAGATCTGCTTCCTCTGCTTCCGGGTACTGGGATTGAAGGCGTGCAGTGCCACCACCCAGCTTGTTTCTTTATTTAATCAGTATATAGATTTAGAGTAAGTAGTTTTCACTACATTTAGTAGCTTCCAAAACTAGTTATGTTTTTTCTTTTTCAGAATCTTCCTGCTGATATTAAAGAATCCATAACAGATATTATAAAGTTCATGTTGCAGAGAGAGTACGTAAAGGTAAATCCTTAGCCTGTGTGTTTCAGCTGCTGTGACCATTGTCTAAGTTATGTCATAATGGAATGGGCATTGGAATGGGCAGGATCGTGCATAGTGCATTTGAGAATGAGTGTGAAGCAAGCCAGTAGGAAAAAAGCCTTTCTCTTCTCTTGGCATTGAGTAACAAACTTCAAACCACAACTGTATTTTCTTAGTCATTGCAAAACTGGGTTAAAAGGTTCCTCAGAGCATGTGCTGTACACAGGCAGTGTTCTTTTATGGTGGGATTGAATTTCAGTGTATAAATAGTTGATTATGGCATGGAACGAATCCTCCCCTAGGAACAAGGCTCTTCAGACTGCCACAGAAGCCCACTTAATCTGTAATATAGCTGGACTACCGTACTGCTGAGTCAGTGGACTTCACCTGTGCTTTGTAGTCGTTTCTGTGGGGAATGTGCCTGGAAGGCTGCCCGACTCGTCTCCGCCCTTACAACACTGTGGCAGTGCAGAGGCCCGCTGGGGAGGGCCGCTCTCATTCACTCCAGGGTTTCACTTGTGACTGCTTCTGGGGTAGGTGCTGGGGAAAGCACCCTCGAGTCCAGGACTTTTGAGGAGGGTTTGGAAGGGGACGCTGGAGGGACGTCAGTTGGTAGAAGGGAGAGAAGGGCTCTGGCTACCCATGAGACAATGGTGAGGACAGGCTTCTAATGGCTGAGCCTCCCAAGAAGCCTAGAGTGAAGGTTTCTTTGAATCGCAGTGATCCTGGAGCACTAGAGAGGGAAGAAGGGGCTGCTGGCGTACTCGGGGGGCTGCTGTTTTCTGGATGAGAGCATTGGCTTACTGAAGTGATTTTACTCAATAAAACTAGTTGTTTCAGTGAAAACATTTTTATTTCATTCCTAGTTCCTGTTAATTGCATGTCTTTTTAAAATTTTAGTTCTTTGAGAGTTTCATACATATTTTGATCATATTCCCCCTCCCAGTTCCATGATATTTAATAAGGATGACTGCATGGTAACACATGGCCAAGGCCTCCATGATGGCAGAAAACATTGTAATGTCGATACATTTTCCATATTTATTTATTCTCATCGTGTATATCAAAACCAGGCGAGACCTTGTTTTGTATAAATGATAGAAAGAACCAGTTTTAATAATGTGCTGGAAAATTCTCTTTGAAATTTCAGAGAAACTGAAAATTGGAAGATTTATTAGTTAAAAGTTCTGTTTTGAAGTTACACATGAGAGCCAGTGATTAAACAACAAAGCAGAATTCTCTATAAAATTAAACTCTAAAATGTATTGCAGAACAGGTTGCCGCTCTCTCTAGGGTGCACAGTGATCTCCCAGTTCACTGTGGTGCTGTGTTTTCACCCACTTTACATACCACACAGTTGGAATTTTGATAGGATATCTGAAGCCTTCTTGAAGTCCTTGGAGATCTTTTAGAAGTTACTTGCTCTTTGTTCTGTTTTTCCCTCCTTTCTCACAGCTAGCCAGACCTGACTGTAAAATCAAGCCATTTGTCTTACTGGTTTCTGTCTTGACTTTTCATAGCTTTTGTTTTAAGGCTCTTGGCAGGTGGGAGACTTGGGGTGGGGAATTTGGGGATCAGAGAAAAAATGCTGTTCTCATGCTAACCATGCTTCGGCCGTTTGACTTGTAAACCTGTGTCCTGCCTGTTTATCCATCCCAGCAGATAGAGCACCCCCATCCAATACACACTGCTACCAGAGCCCCATAGTGCTATGTGATATGCTGTGTGACTGCAGGTGGGATGGTGAAAGGCTAGCTAGCTTCTGTCCACCTTCCAGCCACATCGGTGAAGACTGCATCTAAAATAGAGTTTCTGTTAGCTTGTCAAGTCAGCTACCTGCTATTCCAGTCTGAAATGCATTACTTTCCAGTGCACAAAGGCTTGAAAGGGTTGTTTGTTTTTCTTGCATGCTTAGCATTGGCTTCTCTTTCCACAGGCGTTTTGTATTTCTGGGCAGGGCAGTAAGTCACCCCATGCTTGAATGTCTTGATTTGAGTAATGGAACACAATATTTTCATCAGGAGGTAGATAAAAAGTATGCCAGGAAGGGCTATGCAATACTTGAAATAAAGATTATATGTTTTTTGTCTTTCTGATTTCTTAAACTTTCTTTCAGGCGAATGATGCGTACCTGCAGATGGCCATTGGGAATGCTCCTTGGCCTATTGGTGTCACTATGGTTGGTATCCATGCCAGAACTGGCAGGGAAAAGATCTTTTCCAAGCATGTTGCACATGTTTTAAACGATGAAACCCAGCGGAAATACATTCAGGTAAGCAGCTTTAAGGGACAAGATTTGCTCTGACAATCTTTTTTTTTTTTTTTAAGTTATTTGTGAGCGTGGGTGTGAGTGTGAGTGCATGCGCACACAGGTGCCGTGGCATGCCTATAGAGGTCAGAGGACAACTTTGTGGAGTTAGTTCTCTCTGCATTTATGTGGGTTCTGAGAACAGAACTCAGGTCATTGGACTTGCACAGCAATTGCTTTTATCAAGCCATCTTGAAGACCCTGCTCTAACATTAATTCTCCAAACCTAAAATCTAAAATGTAAGAAAAGGATTATGTTAGTTTCCTTATCTGTGTGGAGTGTGTTCAACAGCCTCCTGTGGATACCTGAAACATTGGATAATACTGAACCCTACATATACTACTGCACAGCCCACACACGTATTTCAACTATGATTAAATTCAGTTTATTAATTAGGCTGAGTAAGAAATTAACAACACAGGCTAGACATGGTGACATACACCTGTAATCCCAGCACTCAATAGGTGGAGTTGGGATAGTCTTGTTCTGAGCCAGCTTGGAATAAAGGACAGGAGGGAGATATGTCTCAGAGAAACATAATACATAGGAGGAGGTAGGGGAGATAGTTTATAATTGGAGGAGGAGCAGAAGAGGGAGGTTGTTAGTAACTGATTATAAAAGGAACAGTTGTAACCATATTCTGCACTGAAAGTTATGTGATCATGGCCTCCCTGGAAACAGCGTGGTACTCTGCCCTCTGGGATAATGTGAAGTATCGTTTCCGCATAAGAAGATGAGGTGAGGTTGGTGATTTATTCGATGTCATGGTGAGTAAATGGAGGCTACTGTTGAGCTTCTGCTGATCCTGTGAAAGAAGCCAATGATAACCGTTGACTGAAGGTAGCCGGAAGTGTGAGACTAAAGCCCCGCACAAGGGGACGCGCGTACAGTGAGTAGGGCGTACACAGGAGGATAGAGGGAAGTTCGGTGCTGATGAGCACTTGCCTTTATGACAGCTTCGTGGCGAAGGACACCAGTGACTTTCATGCATTATGGAAAGAAGGGAAATCATTATGCTTTTAGCTTTTTTAACACTGAAATAAAACTGTTGGAATTTGCTTTGCTTTGTGTAGTGCAGGCCAGCTTCAAACACACTGCCTCCACTTCCTGAGTGCTTGAGTTATTGATATGAACCATATCCCGCTTGCTTTTTAAAAAATACATCAAATGAGTTCATAAGAGAAATCTGGGAGTTCGAAGACAACGAATTTAGAGTGTTTTATAATAATGGGACTTGCAATGTGGATTTAGTGTACGCTCATCTCAGAAGATACGGAAAGTGAAGTCTTGTTTCAGTCTGTGTCATTATATCTAAGTGGCATGTGGAAATATTTTTTAATTATGTTTTATCAAGTCTGAAGTATTTATAGTTTTCTTGAAGTTATGCATGCCTCATACAAACTTGTTTGCACTGAGCTAAACTTTCTGAAAACTCTGTGTGAATAAAAAACAAAATCAACTCTATCTAGCTTTGGCAAACTGTCACAAATCCCAGAGTGTGTGCAACAACTTGCCGGGTGGCGGTTCTTAAACTTGAAGATGAGCTTTGGAAGTTTACTTAAAATTTGCTTAAAAGCATAAAGTGATTCAGATGAGGTGCCAGAGCACAGTTATTACCATATTCATGAATTATCTTTGTTTGTATTTTAGTTCCAAGTGCTGAATGTTAATTTTGTGGCATACTTTATGCCTTATTCGCATACATTAGCATTTAAAGACATTTCAACCTGACTCCCCACTGTGAATTGTGCAGTTTACAGAGTTCAAATACACTTGGGTAAATTCAAGGACATTTTCATTCTTTAAGTTTTAGAATGACATTATACTTTTATTGTGTGTATGTATGTGGGGCGGGTGGCATGTGCAATGGTGCCCTTTAAAGGTCAGAGTATTCTCTCCTGCCTTTATGTGGGTTCCAGGGGTCTAACTCAGGCCATTAGACTTGGCTGCAATGTTCAGTGACCTTGCCTGCTGAACATCGCACTGGCTTCATTTTCATTTCTTAATAACCACCGATGACTGTAGTAAAGGCAAAAGTTAAAAAAAGTGTTTTTTCCTTTGACAATTAAATATAATTTCTAAGGATTAAATTTGCTAGTCATGCTCATTATGATGCTTAAAAGTTCATGCAGTTAAATAATTTTAAAGACAGCATTTCTTGTTGTAGACAATGGTGTAGTTTCTGCTTCCTCCTAGACTTCTTTTCTTTTTAAATACACACACACACACACACATCTATCTCTATATACATCTTTCTGTATCTATAGCTATGTGTATATATTATTTATTTAAGAAGATTTCTGGCCGCGCACGCCTTTAATCCCAGCTCTCGGGAGGCAGAGGCAGGCGGATCTCTGTGAGTTCGAGACCAGCTTGGTCTACAGAGCTAGTGCCAGGACAGGCTCCAAAGCCACAGAGAAACCCTGTCTCAAAAAAACCAAAAAAAAAAAGAAGATTTCTGGTTTATTTTGACGCTGTGTAATGACCTGTTCTTCTTCCAACCTTTCTTTTTCGTTGTTTAAATTAGTTCCTCTGGGAAAACTTCTAGGTTTGTTGTCGTGGCACTTAAATAAAACTACTATACAAATAAAATTTAAAAGATGTGGGCTGGAGAGATGGCTCAGTGGTTAAAAAACACTGACTTCTTCCTAAGGTCCTGATTCCAATTCCTAGCAACCACATGCTGGCTCCCTACCATCTGTAATGGGATCTGATGCCCTCTTCTGGCATGCAGACATACATGCAGACAAAGCACTCATACATAAAAAACACGCCTTTAATCCCAGCACTTGGGAGTGCTCTTTGAGTTCAAGGCCAGCCTGGTTCCAGGACGTGCCCCAAAGCTACAGAGAAATCCTGTCTTGGAAAACCAAAAAAAAAAAAAAAAAAAATCAGGGTGTTGCCTGAAGTTCAAATCTTGGTGTGATAAACCTTTATTTATTTATTTTTTTCAGGATCAGTTACTAAGTATCTTAGGTTTGTGCTTCCTGTGAACTTCACCAGCAGCCAAAGGCTGCATTCTGGAGACAGTGTTAAGAATAAGGTGGTTTTATAGATCAGTTTGTGACCCCTGGCAAATGTATAATCCAATTTTTTTCTGCATGAAGATATTGATAAGAAGACCATGCAAAATCATTTGATAATTACTTCTTTTAAAATACATCTCAAGAAATGCTGTATTGTTCAAAATATATAACCTTAATCCTACAGCCCAGTGATTGTGGATAATGTACCTTATTAAAAACTAAGATTGGCAGCTCAAGGCCAGCCTTGTCTACAGAGTGAGTTCCAGGACAGCCAGAGTTGTTAAATAGAGAAACCCTTTCTCAAAAAACAAAACAAAACAAAAAACCCAGACAAACAAAAATTAAGATTGGGTCCAGAATGTTCCTAGTACGTTCAGCCCATTCCTTCATGCCTTGTACCTGGTCCTCTCTTCCCATCAGTCAGTGCTGCTCTTCTTTTTAAAAGATTTATTCATTTATAGAGTTCCAATTGTGAGCTGTCATGTGGGTACTAGGATCCAAAAATGGGTCCTCTGCAAGAGTAGCCAGTGCTCTTAACCACTACGCCATCTCTCCAACCCCCTAGTTAGTGCTACTCTTGATTTAAAAGTCTTTCCTAGTTTCGCCTGTGACTGAATGTCATATAAATGGAAACTTAGAATGTGTGAAATGATTCTTATTTTTATTTGAAATACTAGCATAACATGTTTTAGGAAATGTGGAGAGCAATGCAGGAGGCGTTTGCTGAGTATGACTTCATCTTCTGGAGACTGTGGATGCTGTTTGAAGTGCTCTGTTCTTCACAAGATTAAATACACCAGGGGGAGTTTTCTCACCAGGCAGATCAAACGAAAGCTGTGTAGCTTATTAGCTCACCTAAGTCTGCTTGTTAGGTTTAGATTGCTGGTGGTAACTTCAAGGATGGTTCATTCCTCCAAATACAGAGGAAACCTTTGCACCAGATTTGGAAAAAGCTTCTTTTATACAAATTATAGAAACTTGATTATTTAGAGGCTATAATTTGGTCATTTCTAGAGGCCTTCTGGCAGTGTTTATGAAAAGACAGTCAGAAGGAGGCCGAGAAGAAAAGTAACAGCACCTCCTCTGCCAGTCCTTCTCCCAGATGGCCTCCTACCTTGCTCTGTGAGCACTGGCCGGTTCCTTCTCCCTGTGGCTTCCATGGGGCAGGTATGAAGGAACTGGGGTTATTTTGTAGTGGGACAAGTTTCAGATGTATTTTCTCTACAGAGTTCCTGTTGCATCCCTCTGCCTCAGGCCTTTGCTTCCCCCAAGTGGCTGTCTCCAAACATTTGCTGTGTCTCTTTCTCATGCCTTTTTAGAGTATGACCTAGCCACAGTCTCAAGATTGCCAACTGTAGGGTCTTGTACTATCCCCTTGTTGGCCCTGAGCTCTGCCAGGTCTTTGTGAAGTCCTTGAACCTGCCCATTGGATTATCAGTTCAAGTTTTTGCTCTGCTTCCTGTTGATGTCCTTCCTGCACTCTCCAGATGGTCATCCTAGAAAGCTTTTTCTAAGCTCTTGCCGTCACACAAGGACAACTGTCCTTAAGACCCTCTGGCAAGTTTCCAGTAATCTTAAATTCATGAATTTTTTGGTATCCCAGCATTTTATCTCAGGTTTTGGCTATTTTATCTGTAATAGCATTGCCCAGCCTTGTGGAACATTTTATATATTTATATTATTTATATATTGCCAATATACTCCTCTTGTGCCAAAATTAGTATAATATGAACTTTGATTCCTCCAGTAAGTGATCACAGCTTGACTTACACATTGTATACACCACAGTATGGTTATTGGTGAGTATTCTTCATATGTTAGTACTCAGATTATACACGACACATTTACAGGTCAGGTGTCTTCATGCTGAAGCTTCCAAGTCTTGGCTGAGGTAATTTTTAAGTGGCAAGTTGTTGCACGGTAAGAACCTCCTCCCCATGCAGTACTTTCCGGTGGTGTATTTTACACTGCATTTTCAGAAGAAAACACTGGCATTTTACACAGTGCTGCCCTTTAATACCATGGAACACTGGCGTGCTGATATAAACTGCAGCGTGTGCAGTGTGTGCAGCGCTGCTTTCACAGCTCCGGTGATAGGAAACAGTAGGTGTTTACCCCACCAGATCTCAGCCTCAACCACAGGCTTGAGAGGAAATAGGCCAGATCAACCTCCACAATAAATACCTCACGGCCATATGAATGAAATCTCCCCCAGATTAGAGCAAAGCAGATCACTCACAGCATCTCAGGAGTTAGTCTCACTGCCTCTTTCCATTAGGAGTGCCTAAACTAGGGTGGAGTGAGGTCCCTTCAGTTATAAAGGAAGGGATTTCCAGCTCAGTTTCCTGAATTCTCAGTCAGGTGGAGTTAGGGTAATGACATTTCTGGCAGGCAAGACTTCACAAATGACCTTTGACATAGAGCCCTGGGGTCTTAATCACAGTTTTCACAGTGCTTCCAGAAGGCAACAGAACGAGGGGGATACTGCCATTTCTCTTTGACACATGCGGCCCTGAGACAGACAGGCATGTTCTCAATCCCATGCTAGTAAGACATGGGGTTAGGTTTGAGCCTGGACTGTCTTCCCTCTGTTGGTGGTGTGCTACTTCTGTCTGAGGATAGCCTCCACTAAAATGAGGGAAGCAAACCACACAATCCAGGAATTGCAATCAAGCATAGAGCAAGGTGAGAGGAATTCCAAGGCTGAAAGTGAGGGATGTCGTGGCAGTAGCAGTACATGACAAGAACAGAATGGAACAGAGAGACTGGACAATCTCAGCACAAAATGGAAGCGATGAACTTTAAAGGGGAGCAGACCTACAAAAGGAGTGGTCATCATAATACCACTAAAGGACGCATAAAGGACGCATGTGTGACATTTCTGATAACTGATTTAGGGAGGATGGGTAAGAAAATAATGTAGTGTGTATACATGCATGGGGCCAGTGGGCATGACATAAGCCCATTAAATCCTCCTAATTTCACAGTCAAGAGTCAGTAGGTGATCCTCAAGGAGAAAGTGGTATGGAAGTGTTTGCCTCTGTGCCCTGGGGTTGGGGGTAGGAAGGAGTAAGGCTGGCGAACACTTTAATTTTATGGCTCATCTGTGCTATTTTACACAACATGAACTCAGACTTCAGGATTGTCCTTTTCTCTTTCTGTCACAATTCATAAACTTCCTACTTTCAAATCTCAGTGATTCTATATTGAAAGGTCTGGGGGACTGTCCTCTTCTAGGTGCCATTTGGACAGCCACTAACCTCTCTTCTGTGAATTTTTGCAGTGTCTCCTCCGAGTTTGTCTTTGTTGCCTTTGATTCTCTTCAGCACCTACACTATTGCAGTTAGAATACAGCTTATGTTGCTCAGTATGATATTAGCTCTCTTAATGTCAGAGTGAAAAGTCCAGCCACAAACAGCCCTCACTGTTTCCACAGCTCTTACCACTGTTGGATGGATCTTGTCTTCTTGCCTTATTCCTCGGGGTGGGGTTTTCTTTTTTTTCTCCTGGCTTGTTATTTGTTTTTCCAGAGTTTAGCATAGTGCTTGATATACAGTAAAGAATACTTAAAATGGCTGTTCAGATAAATATGTTTTTATAAGAATTTAAAGTCAGGTGGCACATATGACTGTAGAGATATCAGCCCACAGGAGGCTGAGGCAGAAGGATTACAAGTTTGTGCCCAGGGCTGTTGAATGAGACCCTGTGTTTTTAGAAGTCGGTTAAAATATCAATGGCTTTTAGCTGTTTGCTTGTATGATGAGTTACACTGTTGTCTTGCCTATCCACCCACAGCAGTGTGAAACAGGAAGCTAAGGGACTCTAGCTGAAAAGACTTTCCATTTGGGGAAAAACAAAAACAAAACCCGAACCATGTCCTGAGAATGACACACTGTTAAAAATCCATGCTAGCCTATCAATCCTTAGTACAAGGATTTATAGTAGTGTCCCTGGTTAGGGCTCTTGACTGACTGTTCTTAGACTCTTGAGCATAAAGGCACCTCATAAATGTGTCTCCGTGGAGCAGCTTGCCTGAAGCTCTAGTTAGGGAACGTTCCCTGACTCCTTGTTCAGAACAGTTCATGACATGCTTGCCTGCACACTGAAGCCCTTGTGTCTCATCTTTCCTCACTGCACCTCTCTTCCATCTATTCTGTCAGGACACTTAGAGATGCCAAATCAGTGATGTCATGTGTGTTTCCATAGCTACAGTTCAAATTTTGCACACTTACGATTAGAGCTCAACAGTAGGGGAAGCGGGAGTATGGATTTAAAAGGAGACAGTGCTTTGTTTCCTGGCCAACCAGACCCGAATAATCACACAAACTACATTAATTACAATACCGTCTGGCCAACAGCTCAGGTGTATTCCTAGCTAGCTCTTGCATCTTAAATTAATCCATTTCTGTTATTTTATGTTTTACCACGAGACTTGTGGTTTGTTACCTCACATCCTGCTTCTTGGGCAGCTACATGGTGTCTGCCTGACTCCGCCTTCTTTCTTTCTGCATTCTGTTTAGTTTTCCTGCCTTAACTATAGTTTGCCCAGCCATAGGCCAAAGCAACTTCTTTTTTAACCAATGGTAAAACAGTCATAGCATATAGAGGGGAATCCCACATCATATGGAACTGAAGTTCTTTATCCTAAAGCAGATATCTGGCTAGTGGGAGAAATATGAGGAGCAAAGTAAATTACGTGCTCTCCTTCCCACTGCTGGGAAGCCTCTTTATCATAGAAATCAGTGGAAAGAGAACCTCTCCACATTGATTCTTAACGAGCTCGACATGGACAATGTTTGGATCTGGGAAAGACTCAGAATGTTTCAACATCATGTTCCAGATGTTGAGTCTATTAGATCATAGCTCAGTTCACAGTAGTTGATATCTGTGTTAGCAGTTTCTACTAGGATTCAGTTTGTTTTTGATAATTTCAGTGAGTTTATGAGAGTTACTTGGTGTGGGCACAACAGTAAACATGTTGTGAGCTCCAGACCAGCCTGGGCTGCTTGTTTGACCCTGTCTAAAATTATAGACAAAAACACAAAAGCAAAAATAAAGTTGTTTGAATATTTAGAGTTTAAGATTTCTAAATAATGGAATTTTAGGTATCCAATGCTATTTTAATGCTTTCTTCTTAGGTTTCCAGCTGTTTTCTTCTGTTACTATTTCATATAACTGTGCCCTGTAGTTTCTTCCCACTGGGTCATGAATCTCTTGTTTAAAGCTGTCCTTTCATGTCAGTTAGAGAGAAGAAGGTGGATTGGAGAAGAATACAACCTAAAATACCAGGCAATATGCTACCTGTTCATTTATAGCCAGTGCTACTATTTTAGACCTAAGTTTTATTATTTTTCTTACTGTGATGGGAACTGGGTGGTTTTAATTTTTGTGAACTTAAATGAGAAGCCTTAAAATAATTTGGTTAAAAAATTGGTATGGTTTAGTATAAATCATTAAAATTAAACACTGCTGTTATCTGTCCTTGTTTTAATAACTAGCTAACAATGTTATAAAGATTTTAGTAAGGCATTTAACAAACATTTCTTGCAAACAGGGAAATTTGGAAATTGATTAAACAATTAGTAAGATTATTTTCTGATTGTAAATTCTTCTCTAGCTCTCTAGAGAAGAATTTACAATCAGAAAATAATCTATGGTGGCTTGCTGTAAGCTTCTGCCGTTGTCCTTGGCCTGTTTGTAAGGGATACAAAGAATTTGTATACAGGTTGGAAAAACATTTTTTAACCTAGTAGTAGATGAGAAAGCCAAGAAAAATTACTAAAATCTGATGGCCAACTAAGAATTTTAAAGGTAAGATCAAAGGATAAGTTGAAAGAGAAACATCACCTGCAGTGGTTGTCCTGGGCACTTAGGGCTTAATTCTTGGAGCCTGTTTGAGGAGGGCTGAATTGTTAGGTGGTAGAGTTGTGCATTTTTACTGCTGTGAATACTCCATTTGTCTGAGTGTTCATATATTCAAATATAGATGGAAAAATGTGTTATTTCTAGGTTTCTTTGCTCCGAATTTCTTTTGTTTTAAAAAGTTTCAAACAAAAAAATGTAGTTATATAGATGTAAAATTTCCATGACTTGAATGGACGAGGTCATATTTTATTTATCCCAGTAGTTTCTATAGCTTCTTTAACTCTGGAGATGGGGAAAACTTTTCTGAAAGAACCACATCCTTGAACATGCTTCTCTCCACCCCGACTCAGAGTGCCTAACATCACAGTCCTTAGAATGCATATTTTTTCATTGACAGAGTTGTGATAAGCAGTGCCCATGAATAAACATTGATCTAGGAATCCTTCTGAGTCGAATTGACGGTGATGCTTTATTTTGGTAGGGACATTGACTAAGTACTACAGAGAAAGGCAGGTGGAATTAGTTCAGTCGTGTCATAATGAACCTTTATTTTATGTTCTTAGGGACTGAAGAGGTTAATGACAATTTGCCAAAAGCACTTTCCTACGGATCCATCAAAATGTGTGGAGTATAATGCGCTATGAGATGTATGTACGCTGTGCACATAACATGTGCGTGTAGCAAGAAGCCTAGACAAGCAACATGTAGACTTCTGGCCTTACCACAGCAGCAAAGGAAGAGTTCCACAGGAGAGCGCCATCGGATGCAAGTCTTGTTGGTCTTAAGAACTGTGTTGGCTTTCATATGGTATTAGACTTCTAACACATTTATGTGGTTGTTTTCATTTTAATCAGTTGAAAACTTAAGTCCTAAAGCTGTTATCCATCGTGTAGATGTGTAGACAACAACAACCAGCAGGGGGTTTGAAATGACCTTTCTCCCCGGGACCCAAAATCTGTCATTAGATAATTAGAAATATTTGAGGTCAGGTTTTAGCTTTTTGTAAATTATCATGATTTGCACATTTTTCTCTTATGTAGTATTTATAGAAAATTTTTTTTTGTATTTCAACAAAAGTGTGGTACCATTGAAATGTTCCTTTACAGTTCTTAAATATTTTGTGGACTTTTGTCATCTTGCAATAGAATGTAAATGCTACTGTTAAGTGTTATTTTTTATTATGTTTCAGACTTGCTTTTGTTTCTAAGCAGAGTACATTTTAGTATTTGTCATCTTTCTGGACAGATAGGATTAATAGATAGAAGGTTGGAAAGCAAAGACGGTAAATTACACCAGCATACGTCAGAACACCAGCGCCCAGGTGAGGGTGACGAGATGGAATTGGGGTCAGCTGAGAGTGGCAGCCTTAGGGTGGGAAAGCCAAAGAGGGCGGAGGTCTCGGTCCTCAGTCCGATCTCACCATTGTGCCCACTCCCTGCTGCAGCGCTGGCAGGACTGGGTTGTTAGGTGACAGGTTGGGGGGCCACACGAGGCTCCATGCACTAACAGAACAGCGGTGGACAAGTGCTTTCATCTTGCCGGGCTTTGGCTTCCTTCTCTGACACTGGTAAGGGTACACACCTCACGTTATTATTGTGTAAGTAAAATGCTGAGCCCGCTGCCTGGGGGAGGACAGGAGATCGTTATTGCCTGGCATATATTCCTATATCAGTGTAGACCAAGGGCCAATATGGCCCCCCTGTGGCTACGATGGGATAGTATGTACTTGTGTGATAACAACAAGGACAGGAGATCGTTATTGCCTGGCATATATTCCTATATCAGTGTAGACCAAGGGCCAATATGGCCCCCCTGTGGCTACGATGGGATAGTATGTACTTGTGTGATAACAACAATAATGATTGTATTAGCAGCAAGTAGTAAATGTGGAATCGTTAAGTTTTTCCTGTCTTTACTTGCATCTAGGTCCAGGTTTAGAGTTGCAGAGAATGAGAGCCTGTGGCTGCTGGACGTGGCTTAGAGTCACAGTTGCTTATTCTGGTCCCTCTTTAGAAAGAGTGAAAGCCACTTTTGGCTTCTTGAGGCCCAAGGCTGTGCATAGATAGGACAGTCTCGGCCAGTTACTTGCAGGGAGGTAGGTGTCTGTCTTGGTTTGAATCAGTGTCCTCATCGTCCCCTCCCCCGCATACTGTAGAAGTCTTTTCTTATGATTAAATTGGGTAGAACTTTGGGGGATTTATTTGACAATGAGAAACCTTGATGAGATGTGCAACAAGTCCCTACCTGTGACATGTGGTTTTGTTATGAAGGTCTTTATGAATATTACAGGATAATGCCTTATTATAAATATTGCTGGATAATAACTTATTTATTATCGCTGTCAGGTCACAGCATGGTAAGTGATTTTATGTTGTCTTCCTTTCTGTTATTAATGTTCCACATGAAGAAGAAACTGTATCATGCGACTTCAGTACTTCGTAAACTTGATCATTGTGGGCTGGTTTTGGTTTTGTTGTTTTGTTTTAAGAGGAGGGTATGTATTCTACAGGACTGTGATGTGACTTTACTCTTTCTGAGTTTGGGTGGAAAGAAACATGTTTAAATACGTGGCTTTCAGAAAAGTTTTTTATGTCTGAAATTAAAGAAGCTATATAGATACTCCTAGAATATGTAGAAAATGGTATTTCATTCAAGTCATGGAAATTTTACTTCTGCATATACTCTATATTTTGTTTCAGATTTTTTTAAAACAATAAACATATACTTTTCCTTTTAAACAGTCACAGTTCTAATTAACTATATTTCTTCCTGCCTCTCCATCCTTCCATTCACAAGAACTGGGATTTTCTGTATTCAAATTTAATAAAAACACCTTTTTCTTTAGAAATGAATGCAGGTGCTCCTTGACTCAATGTAGCATTAGTCCTGATCGTATAGGTGAACACATAGTCCATTGAAAATGCATTTCATGTCCGTAACTTAATCAGCTTGATCTAGACTGTTTTAAATGTGTTCAGAACACTTGGCCTGTGGCTAGGTAAAGCCATCCAACACAGAGCCCATTTTTATACTTAAGCATTGAAGTTCATGTACTATTTTGGATGTTGTATGCTGCTATAGATTAGTGTCCGTCGTTTTCTCTGAAGATCAAGTTTGAGGGATCCTTGTGGAGGAACCAGTACCCAGCATCAAGAGAAGATTGTCCTGTGACTGGCTGGGGAAGAGACCCACAAGTTAGTGTTCCAGAGTACAGTTATTCAGTGCTTTCTGCTGTCACGCGGTGGAAGGTAAGACCCTGTCATTGGAGACTCAGCTGACAGATTTTTCTGTCATTGTAAAAGCCTGTAGGGGGCAGTCTAGAATAGCAGTGATTTTAGTGTTTGGGGGGTGGGGATTAAGGAAATAAAGCAGGGGCCTTGTCAAGATATTGTAGGAGGGAGAGTGAGGTCCTGGGAGAGCAGAAGGAGGCAGGCAGAGGTCACTAACAGAACTGGGGAATCTGTCATGGCGCCTGCAGGGACTGGGAAGTAGCCCGATAGTGGTAGGCCTTGTAGTTTGGAGCCCTTCCTTCTGGCACTTTTTAACCTAGTTCAGTACTTGAACCACTCTGGAGTTTGACCTCAGTAAATCACTTTGGGATGCAAACCTTTGTTATTGCTGTTGAAAAGGAATTATGGAAATCAACAGCCTGGAAAGATGAGGTAGGTTCCCGCAGTCTTCATGGGGCTTAGATTTGGACATTCATGTCTAGTTCCTTTCCTGGTCCACAGCCCCACTAATGCCTCTCACCACAGAAGGGAGGCCTGAGTGAAAGGGAATCTCGAGTTAAGCTTTAAGTTTCTTCTGTCTGGGCATCTTGAGCGGATAATTTAATGGATTGTACCGCCTCCCTGCTGCAGTCTTCTCCCACGAAGCCCCTGAAAGCATAACTTTATCCTCTGGAAATTTATGGTATGGCATCGTATTGGGAATCTTGAGCCGAGAAGCACTTTCTCACGGTGTGTTGATGGAAGAGTTTCCAGCTGTCCGGAGAGCCGAGGCCAGCACAGTCTCCAGAGGGTCACTTTGGGAAACTGCTGTGGCAACTGGTTTTCATCCCAGGCTCTGTGCAGTTGCACTGACTCAACTTTAACCACTGGAACTTTAATGGTTAACAATAACCCAAAGTCTTTTGAAATTTTACAAACAAGTTCTGGCGGTGTGGAATAGCGAGGGAGGCTGTGTGGCTGGCTAGCAGCGACAGCTGTGTGGGAGCTAACCCAGCCAAGATTCTGGAGTTGTGCTCATTACAAAAAAGGGTTTAGACAATGGCCAAAATAGTTTACTATTAAAACATTGACTATTTGTGTATTTTCCACATTTTAAACTGGAGTACGTTACCCAGCATGTTTGAACTAATCCGTGCCCCGCCAATTATGGCTGTATTTTAACTAGGCCTCTTTTCTTTGTTTAGCTTCTTCCCTGTCCCTAAGCCCTGCTCTGAAATCACTGTCAGCCACCCCTGTCCCGCCTCATTGGCCAGGCTTAGTGCATACCTTCATGCAAAGGAGAGCAGCGGCTCTGGCTCCAGAGTTTCCTTTTTCTTTTTGGGTGTTACTTAGTGATCTCAGCTTCATTCACTAAGCTTCCTGCATGGCAGCTAAGTCATTCCCACAGGCTTGCAGCTGCAGTTTTACAATCTGCCAAAACCAAATTGCCTTTGCCCTGGGAGTGCTCTCCTTTGAAGACTCAGAAAACGTTATGGGTGTTGCAGCCTGGGCTTGGCGGAGACTTTCTGTCCTGTGAAGGAGTTGAAGTTGTGGATCGGAGTGTTTCTGACACTCACAGCAAACAGTGAATGCTTCAAGGCCCAGTATCATATAGACACACATGCATAGGACAGGAACAAGCACTGCCTGGCCGTGTTGGATGTGTTCCTAGTCTGGATTTTGTTGATTTTTTTTTTTTTTTTTTTTGGTGTTTTGGTGGTGGTAGTGGTGGTTGGTGGTGGGTGGGTATGTGCACGCATGTTGCAACACGTGAAGATCTCAGAAGACAACCTCAGGCAGTCCTCATCTTCCACTTTGTTTGAGACAGTAGGATCTCATGTTTGCCTCTACATGCTCCTGGCTAGCTGGAACACAGGTTCCGGGGTTCTTCTCCACCTCCCATCCTTTTGTAGGAGCGCTGTAGTTACAGCTTCATAACTGTGTGTGTGTCCAGCTTCTGTGTGGATTTTAGGAATTCAGACCCGGGTCCTCATGATTGTACATCAAGTGCTTTTACCAACTGAGCATCTCCAGCCCTTGTGTTTCTTTAAAAACACGTGCTGGTTGTGGGCTCTCAGTTGACAGCTTACTAATACATTGTGAAAGCTACTGATACAAGGAATCCCTCGCTGACTAAGGAGGAAAACCACTTGTTTGGTGATGTAGAACGAGAGTGTAGTCCTCTTTAATGCACAGATAACACTTGACTCTTACGGTTGGTATGAAACTTAGCAGATAGAAAGTGTTGAGTACTTTGTTAAGTAAGTCTCAGCTAAGGTAGATTTGCTTGGTTTTGTGTTTATGTGTTTTCCCAATTTGGAGATCGTATCCTTTGATTGACTTCCTATGTTTGACTTGTTCAGTGGAACTTTAGGTTTCTAGTATTTTCTCTTTGATGTAGTTGTGATTTGTGGGAGTTGTTCCACTTTGCATGAACTCTATGTATGCATTTCTTGTTGGATATAAATTTCTGTAGAGACTATACCAAGGTGACTGTAAGATACTTAAACATTCAACTCCAAGAGACCTTTCAAGGAGTCCCGTGGAGCTTATATTAGTGCACATGCCTGCTTTGGGGATTTGAGAGTTTGGTTTCTCTACATCTGATCACATCTGAAGGGTCTTCTGTCACCTTCATTTTAACTTAGTGTTCCACTGTGAATTTAACTCGTGTTTGCCTGATGAACCCAGCTGAGTACCTCTCCTGCCTTCAAAGCCCTTTATGAAGACCCTAATCAAGACTGACTTCATGTCTGTTTACTGTTGAGCTCTGTCCATTTTCTTGCATTTTTTCTGCATACATTCTCTTAGACATGGGTATTGTATGTCTCCGAGACTGACTGTTATGCTAAATAATGGTTAATGGAAGAGACCTAATCTTGTGACGACCAGCATGGATGTTGCTATAACCTTTCCAGCTATCTTTATGTGATAGATTCCATAAAAATCAAGTCACATCATTTTTTTAAACATTTATAAAAGATTTAGTTTTATGTTCCTGTTTTGCTAGCACATATACAGGCATGCCACACTTGGGTAGCGTCTCTGGAAGTCAGAACAGTGTTTGCTCCCACAGAAGTGGAGTTACAGATGGTATGAGCTGCTGTATAGGTGCTGGGAACTGAATCTGGGCCCTGTGCAAGAGCAGCAAGTGCTCTTAGCCACTGAGCCATCTCCAGCCCAGTACATCAGTTTAATGTGACTTTTTTCTCTTGTTTAGTAGTATCATTATAGTGGCATTCCTACGAGCATAGAATTTGAGAGAAGAGGGAACTGGGAATGTTTGTACTTGCTGTAAAATTCTAGTGTTTTGTTATTGGTTTATTTGTATGTGAGTATAAGCGTACGTGTGTGGGGAAAATGCACACCCTTGCACATTTGTGGAGGCAGAAGAGGGTCTCCTATCCCTCTGAGCCAAATCTCTCTGATTCTGGGGCTCACAGGTTTCCTCAAGTGCTTTTGAGATCACTGTATCCTGACTCCCTTTTGCCGGTCTCACTGTGAGGTGGCCTCACCTTTTTCTCACAGCAGTTGAATTTGGAAGCCATCTTAAGAACCTTATCGCAAGCTTCCCGGAATTTCTTCTCACCAGACCTGGAGGAAATGATGCTGTCCTTTCTGTCCTGGCTGAATCTCTGTCCCCGTTTTCCTGCCACTCTCTGGTAAATGATTGAGTCTTTATTTTCTCCCCGTCTCCCACAATGAAATAGAAATCTCCCAGGATGAGCATTCATATCTGTTTTGTTTCCTGCAGGTGTGGGAAGAAAAAAGAACAGTCAGAGATGACTGCTAGGAGGATGGATCTGCTCAAAGTCGAGAAGGAAGGCCGTTGGTGGAGCACATTTGGAGGGGACGGGCAAGAGTCCAGTGCTGTACATGATCACGTTAAACATCTAGCTGCTGAGGTGGCAGTAGGAGGCACAGATTGAGGGAAGAGGTCCAGGGTGGGCGGAGAAGACTAGTGTCGTCGGCATAAAGGCGGCATAGCAACCATGAGGTCAGCTGTGAGTGTTAACGGTTTGAATCTGAAGTGTTCCCAGCAGGCTTGTGTCTGAATGCTTGGTCCCCAGATAGTTGTGCTCTGTTGGGAGGTCGTGCAGCTTTTGGGATGTGTGGGGCCTTGGTGGTGTAAGTAGCTCACTAGAGGTGGTCTTTGACGTTTAGATCTGCCTCTTGTTCCAGTATTGCCTTTTATGTCCTGGTCAGCCAAGAACCGAGATGCCTTTGCTCACAAGGACTTGCCACCACACCTAACCTGTGATGAGGGACCAAAGTCTCGAAAACTGAGGCAAATAAAGCCTGTTTCCCTCAGGTTGTTTCTCTCAGATATTTTGTAATAATGATGAGAAAATACAAGAAGCCCCCCAAAAAGTAATTGTCAAGAGTAAGGGAGTCCAGGAACAGAGCTGTGGGACACTTCAAGGTCAGAGAGGTGAAGATAGGGAGAGCTTCCGACTGTAACAGGAGAGTATGGTCCGCATGAAGGACCAAGCAAGTCAAGCAAGGAACATTGCCTGCATCCAGTGCCTGATGGTAAGTTGCATACAATGACAAAAGAGAATTAATTATGCATTTGGCATCATGAGGCGTCATCTCGGGTGTGTGTGTGTGTGTGTGTGTGTGTGTGTGTGTGTGTGTGTATGTTGTTTGTGCACCTCTAGTCCTTATTGAACCTGTCGACAGTATTACAGCGTAGACCTTTCTGATCTTGCCTGAGTAGAAGTGACTCTGCTGGGAGCTTGGCTTTGTGTAAACCAGGCAGGTTTTATACCTCAGTACCTCTTTCACTTTTCCTGCCCTCAGAGGCCAACTCCTTGAAGAGGGTCTGAATGAGAGCTCCTGTCTAGTGTCTTTGGGAATTGGCTTAGTCTCCTCCTGCCTTCATGCTGGTAGAGGTCCCTTGCTCTTGAGATACCCATCCCGTGCTACTTGGCCTTATCCACAAGCACCTAAGCGTTGGAGGACACGGGTTCTGTGCCAGTGTGCAATGCCTTGATGGAGGCCACTGTCACTCACTAGCTCTCAAGTGGGTCTTGCACACTCCTCTTTGGATAGTTTCGTGTAAGTGTTTTTTTAAATATATATTCTGGGATGGCAAGGAATGGATATTTTTAGTATTTTCTACAGGATTAGGGTGTTTGTGTTCTCTAGGAATCAAAATAGAAACCTGAATTATCTTGTTGACATTATGTAAGGAGAGAGGAAGATGGAAGCGCACACACACGTAAAAGGAACAGGAAGCATGAGACGGTGCCATCTTCCTGGTTTCAGTTGTTTTCATGTGATGGAGCTTAGGACATAGGCTCATTTCTGACATCTTTATGCATAACAAGAGGCCTTTTTTTTTTTTTTTTTTTCAAGTGTAGATTATTCTGGGATGCTCTGATACTTTCCTAAGAAGCCTCCAAGGCAGTTGCCAGAGTTGAGGGAGCTGTCAACACTGTCCCTTTAGCTTGCTTTCAGACAGGGCCAGCGTCTAGTGCATTGTTAATCTTGCTGGCAAGCTTTAGCCTTACTCTAGTGATCAGGAAGGGCTTTCCATCCAGGGTGTTCCTGGAGGCTAGACTTCTAGTTTCCTGCTAGGAAAGAGATGTCTGTCAGGTCAGGGGTCAGGGATACAGTTGTAGCAGTCTGCTGAAGCAAGACAGTAGCCGTATGCCTTAATTGGGGGACTTCTGTAAATGCAGTAGGCTGTTGCTTCAGTGGTATGATTTAGAGGTAGATAATTTAAGAGAAAACTAGCCTCTACCAAGTCAAACAGGCTTGCCTTTTTTTCTGGAAGCCAACAATACCCTGCATAGCTGGGTGTGGTGCATAACAGCACTCAAGCTGCAGGCAAAATGAGTGTGAATTTAAAGCCGCCCTGGGCTATACAGTAAGTTCCAGGCTGGCAGGGACTGCAGAGTGAGTCTGTGTGTGGGGGTGGAGGAGTGGGTGTCACACACACCCCACACACATATATTTGGGGAATACCATGGGTAGACTGATGGTGTTTGTTTTTGAAAAAGAGCCCAGTGCACCTGACACAGATTCTGGAGCATGGCTACACATTTGTCATTTAGAAACAAACAGTGTCCAAGAGGCAGCTGGGGTGTTTTCATTTTGAAAATGCTTTAATAAGTGTTGACAACACTGTTCTGCAAAATGTAAAGGTACTATACAAATTCTTAATACAAAAAGAATAAATTAAAAGCAGATTTCTCTTTTAATTCTGCGACTTTGTCTACAACATACATCTTTTTCATTGATTACCGTTGAACAGAATCCAGTAAAATCATTTTACATGCTCTACAGTCAGTTTCAGGAGCAATCTAATCTTTCCCCCATTATTAAACTAGAGTCCATTTTACACAACTTGTAATAAACGATTGACTTTACACCTAGTTAACTAAGCAGTAATTGGTCATCTGATAGCACCTGGATGAGGTTTGCTATATTTAGAACTAAACTAATACTGAATGAAAACAAATTGGGCTTTTAACAGTTTCAACACTCACCTGCATATAACAAAATAAACCAACCTGGCTCACAACAGAGTCTTCTGGCTGAAACAGGCAATTTCTTACATGTACCCAAGGAATCCAGTAGGGGCGTTAGACCAGACTGGGGGCTTCATATCTCATCTTCCTTTAAAGAAATAGGATCTGTAAAGCGTCTGCAGGTGCTTGAATACAACACCCAGAGTGTTCCCCACCACACTGACCATGTATGTCCGTCTCAAAGGACTTAGGCTTATTATGTACATTGTATTAACTGAACACAGCTAAACAGTAAAACCTGTTTTACTTAATCTCGGTCCTTACTACCAGACTCTCCTGATGGTGTTCACAGCTCCCATACAATTCCTCTCTGCTCCCCAAATGTATTACATTTTAGATTCTTTCTGCCTCTCTCGTTGATCCAACCGAATTCAGAACTGATTTTCAAACTGCTGTCTATGTTATAACCTGTAACCATGTAACCTTGTCTTATTCTTTGTTTCCCTCTGGACTTTTCCTGCTGCACCATAGTTCAGTCTAATTATTCAGGCATCTCTTTTTGGAAGTAAAAAAATTGACCCAATGTATCACATTTCCTATTAGGGAAGGAAGGGGGGAAAATCCCCAAATAAACCTGCCTTTTGTAGCTCTGACCATCATACTAGGAACAAAAAAAGGTAGCCCCCATCTCCGTCAAGCCCTGGGTTCATTTGTACCATTATCAGTTCCTACCAATCTACAGGGTTATGCCTACAAGTGTCCGGAAGAGTACTGTTTCTGAAAGCTGGGATCATCAAGCCAGCTGTGCCCAGCGCTGGGGTACCTGGCCTTGAGTGGGCCTCAGACCGCATGGTATGAATGCCTTTGGCTGTGGAAACACTCCCACTTGACTTCCAGAACTTTCCAAGCCACAGCAGAGTGAGCCACAGGGTTGGTCCTTCCTCTCCTGGGCTGGTGGAGTCTACTGTTGCTCTCGGATTCACATACATGAACAACAGTCTTTCTTTTGATGCCACAGCTAACTTTAGATCTGCTTTCCCACAAAAGTACTCCCACCCTGGCTTCTGTTCCTGGATGCCTTTCCCACAGGAAGTCATCACAAAGGCGACCCCGCAAGCCCCGCTTACATTCACATGTACTACCTCCATAGAAACTCTGGTGCCACCTTGAGTAACCCGGCTAAGACTGTTCACTGGTTAGTCATTATAAAATTTCGAGGCCTTTGAAGATCGATGGCTTTTGGTTGTGTGTTAAGCATAGCTCAAAACACATGTAAACGAGCAGCTTGCACGCATGCTTTTTTTTTTTTTTTTTTTTTTTTGCCTTTTATCCTCTTGGTATCTGTGGACAGAGGTGGTAAATCAAAGTCATGGATACTGCTGGAGGTGAATGGGCCCTTTAGGAGCTGAGTTGCTTCAACTCTGCTCTGCCTGCCGGCTGGTAGACACATAAAAATCTTCCTACCTAAGGGCGTACTTGGGTTCTTACTAAGTGACACACAGGAGAGGTCCATCTGAGTTCTTTGTCACACAAGTGCTAACAAACAAATGAGCCACAACAGTAAAACACTTGAATAGACCGCAATGTGCTTTTTCCCTTGGTTTCCCATAAAAAAGAAAATGAAACACCTTGTACAAAAAAGAAAGGTTACACTTTTTCTGGCTGTTTTAACAAGTGAGAACTGCTTTTGGCAATGATCACCTTTAGCTTCTGACCAGTCCGAAAAGGAAAGCAGCTTGGGAGGTGCAGGCTGAGGCCCCTGCGTAGGGCGCACCTTCCAGCCTGTTTCCCTTCAAGCCCAGACAGACATTCTGCGTCTGCCAGGCCAGCCAGGTCTCCTCCATCTTCACTGTCCCATTGGGTTCATTTCCAGGCTCTCGGGTCGGGAGAAGTGGACGGGACAGCAGATGGCTCACGACGGGACACGGTTTACAAATGGTTGACTTTCACTCGTGCTGCATAGAAGCAGTTTGGAACTGAGGAGTTTCACTGCAGAGAAGGTGTGTTCCTCTTGGCCCCTCCTATCTGTTTATTGTTGAATGTGTCTAATCTTTGGCAGCATAGAACCGCTCGTGATCCTCCGACGCGTCTCTGAAGCGCTGGTCCTCCTTAGGTTCTCTTGCAGGCTGTTTCACTACAGAACAGAGACTATCTCAGGTGTAAACTGAATGTCCCCACGAGGCAGCCTCTCTTCTCTGGAAGCACCCAGTGGCCTGTGGTGGCAGCTGATGCAGCTTCACAGTCTCTGCACAGATAGGTCTTTCTTTTTTCTCTTCTCTACCAACGCTTCTCTTCCACAGGAATTGCATATGTTGGCTTCCCTGACAGTTCCTGGCCTGGGCTGTCATGGCAGGGGGAAACCACCAAGGTGCCATTGAGGATTGTTGTCTGGCTCTCTGGGTAAGAGAGCCAGGGGACACACAGTGGGATCGGAACCTTCCAGAATGTCTCCTCAGTCAGGTTTTTGAGGGTGAAGGGGATGTGGAGACAGGAGAAAAAAAGTGCCAAGGGCCGAAGCTGGTGCAGGTGACAGTGTGTCTGGGTAAGGCAACTGAGAGGCAGTGAGGTGACTCAGAATGGCGTGCGGCGGTCAGAACAGGCCGGGCTGGCTCACACGAGGGTCCCGGGCTTGGCTTTTTCCTGCCCGTACCATTGGACATCAGCTAGCTCTGGATAGAGGGAGGAATCCAGGAAGCAGCTATCACTGTAGCTCCTGTGGGCCCAAGAAGAGAGGGTCAGTTAGAGGAGAGAGCAGCACAGAGGGCAGCGTTCAGGGTGCTGGCGGAGGGGCAGGCCTGAGTCTGGCTGTGCTGCTGCTGGCCTAGGGAGCGCACAACTGCGGGGACCTTTCAGAGTCCCGTACATGATTCTCAGGTGCAGCCAGGGCTGAGGAGCCCCTGGGACTATATTATTCCCCAGGATGATTTCCTATGTGACAGTCAGTGGCTTGCCTTACATCGGACCCAAGGGTCTGCACTTTGGAGGTAAATTTATCACTGTCCTGGAACAACATTCAAAATGTGCCTTTTTTTTTTTTTTTGTTTTTTTTTGTTTTTGTTTTTCGAGACAGGGTTTCTCTGTGGCTTTGGAGCCTGTCCTGGCACTAGCTCTGTAGATCAGGCTGGTCTCGAACTCACAGAGATCCGCCTGCCTCTGTCTCCCGAGTGCTGGGATTAAAGGCGTGCGCCACCATCGCCCGGCAAAATGTGCCTTTTTTAAAAATTATTATTTATTGGTTCTTTGAGACAGGGTTTCTCTCTGTAGTCCTGGCTGTACTGGAACTAGCTCTTGTAGATAGACCAGCCTGGCCTTGAATTCACAGAGATCCTCCTACCCCTGCCTCTGCTGGGATTAAAAGTGTGTGCCACCACCACCCAGCTATGCTTTTTAAATTAATAATGTTGTGATTTTTATGAATGGATTTTTAAAATCATACAGGGACTGGGCCTGTAGCTCAGTGGTAGACAGCGTGTTTAGCATGTAACAGTCCTGCCCTTGATGCTCAGCACCAAAAATAGTATAAAGTCAAGATAAATTTCCCTCTACATAGAAAAATGTACATACGAGAAAAGAGAAAGTTCTTTGGTAAGTATTGTTAGTAGATTAAATGGGAGCGATTCCTATGTATCAACGATAGCTCACACAGAGGAGCGGCTGCAGCCCTACTCACTCAAAGAGATTCCAGCTCCTTCTAAACTGACCTTTAGTTCCCATGCCTGGTACCAGGAGCAGATGCTGAGCCACTCTAAAGAGCATCTCAAAGCCTCCCAAGTCAGCTAACCTGTAGACCACCAGCCACCGTCACTACTGTCTCATTTGCTCACTTCTCCAGGAATACACTGAGGATTTAATTCTTGGTAAATATCCCTCATCTGACCCAGCAAAGCTAGAAAAACCCCAAGGCATCTGTGACAGCCCTGTGCTTGGAGCCCTGGAAGTGCATGAGGTTAATTCTGATTAAATGCAGCGTTAGAAGCAAAGGCAAGGCCTTAGTTAGGACACTGGTCATGGGGGTCTTTGTGTGTATCTGTATTTGGGGGTAAACGAGTGGATGACTTTATACTCGCGCTGCAAACAGTGGCTCCTCACTGCAAAACTGGCTTTTGTAAACTGTGTCAAAGGAACCAAGGATTTTTAATGGGAAAAGGCGGTTGGAAGCACACAGTGCTCCGGGGAAACAGTCTCTTCATGGTGCCCTTGCACCTGCCAGAGGGGACACGTGACCTATGTTTGCCGGGCTCAGAGAAGGCTAAGAAGCTTTGAGCACGAGGGGATTTATTTCCTCCCCCTGGCTGGAAGCACTAGTGAGCTCTGCCCAGCTTAGCCGCTTGCACATGCTCATCTGCTTAAGCTTATCGAGTCGGTTCCCCTCTCCTATGCAGCGAATACTGGCACAGCTTCCTAGATTCTTCTAGAAGTTTGTTTCTGATAAAGTCGCGATGTGGGCCTACTAGGGACGTCATTTTCCTGACTGCAGCATTGGATACAGGAGTCACGCTAACAAGTGTTTCTGAAGGGACACCTGGGACGGGCTCCGAGGAAGCGAAACGGTGAACACTGAGCACACACCACAGGCTCTGCGAAGTCATGCATTGCTTTGTTTGACCTGGGATATCTCACGCCTACAGAACACACGCTGGAAACACCATTTCTCTCTCACACAGTTCAATGTCATAGAACATGTTTGAGTCTGGGGTTAAATCACTTTTTCAAAAAGTGAGTAATCACTAAATACTGAATGATGCCTTACCTCCATTCCCACTGAGACTTGAGAAGTGGGATTTAAGTGGGCTGGACACTGTGGGGTTGGTGAATAGTGCTGTAGGTCTGTGGCCATAAAGCCAGGGTGATAAGACCTCTGTCAGCATGGCTCTCTGCTGGCTGGGTGTGAGCTGCTACCCATTTTGAACTGACTCGACCACATTCTCATGGGAGCTTTTTAAGTGCGCGTCTCACGCTGCTACCCGCTGCCATCCATCACTCAGCACATCTTAGTCCCTTCTTATTGGAGGGGAAGAGTGACTCGAATTCAAGTGTCCTGGTGACATCATTTCAGTCCCTTCACTGTCACCAGAGCAGCATGAGCTGTCCCTCTTCCTCCCCTGCTTTCCTCATCCACAAGTGGCCAACTGTACAAATTGTTACTGGTCTTGTCCTAGCCTACATTCCAAGCTCAATCCCTGCTCTTCAATCCTCTATTGTATTCCCCACCCCACCCCCCCGCCCCACGCAAGAGCCCTGCCTGAATCCACACCCGTGGCTTTTTATTTTGGCTTCTCTCTACCTCCCTGCTCCGCGGCAGTTCTTTAAAGCCAGGCTCACGAAGCGTGTATGAGGACAAAAAGGCATCTCTTGTCTGAATCTTTTCAGCATTTTGATTTTAATTTGTAGATAGCACTCAGTACTTTTATGTGGCATTTCTTCCTCGGGGCTCAATTTTGTCTCTTTTGTCTTGCTGGGATGTTTCCCTCCTTCTGCATGGCACCCTTATCATTTTGGTGTCGTCTTGCTGGGATGTTCGCCCTCCTTCTGCATGGCACCCTTAGCATTTTGGTGTCCCCGGTGTGCTTTTTAATTTCAGTGCTGCACAGTTAGTTACTTAGACTTTCAGGACCCACTGCCTTGAGCTTGTGATAATAGAGCCGTACGGATTTCAGCGGTTGGTTCAGCAGCCGTGCTGGTGTCTGGGAGTCCTTCAGAGCTCCCAGCTGGTAGTGGTGACTTACAAACCACGTTTTGAAAAACAGGACTCTATGACATTTGTTGTAACATACAACTGTCGCTGAAAAATGGTAGGATGCAGTTACAGTAGTTTGGGTATTTTGAACAGCAGTGGTGCTGTTTTTATGGCTATGACTTACAAACCTGGTAAACAACAAACCTCTACTTTTTTTGTATTTAAAGCCTAGAAACTCTAAATATACTATGGGGGCAGTTCTTATGGGAAGAATGGGGACCATCCTACATCTGATGTAAAAACACACATCCAAACATATAGCTCCACATGTATCTAGAAATAAAACATAAAAATAATAGCTTCCACACCATCCAGACATTTCCTACTGGAAACTCTGACATGGGCAGAAGCCGCACATATGCAGGACATCTGGATCACACACTCGTGGGCAGTAAGAACAAAACGTTCCCTTACAATACCTCTATTCATCAGTACTTTGGTGAGTTGGAGACTCAGACCCATCCATGATGGGAGAGTTTTCTGTTGCTTCTCTGAACAAAGGAAAGCGGAAGGAGGAAGAGAAGAGAGTTCATGTTACATAGAAGAACTGGCACACATGATTAGTAGCTTATTAACACACTGGAGAGACCCAATGACCATATGCCCATGAGTCCAACACAGGAAGAATCACACAGAACTTTGAGTCTCCATCGCTGAGCGACAAGACGTCATTAGGCATGTTAGGAAGGCAAGCGGTGGCAATTTTTACCCATCATCTCATTTTCTTATCACCTTATTCTTGAATAATTCACAATCTGGCAAAACACCGGACTTCAAGAACAGTATCTTTGTATTTCCAGTTTGTATTGTGCCCTTACTGGCTACATGTGACAAAGAAGGCAAGTCCAAGGGCTCACTTGAGTGAGTGGGCGTGGGACGGATGCTTGTAACTCAGAGCCTATTATTAGTCAGGTGATGCAGTCATATAGCTGAAGCAGATAAAACTGGGCATGACCTAGGAACTTGAGAGGGTCCCCAGAGGATTCCAAGGGTCCTATTTGGATGGTGTGGTTTAGCCACTAAAGGCACACAGATGCGTCACTCTTGTATGAGTCAGTCCTGGGGGACTCTTCAACCCTGAGCCAAGAAACTGGATTCAGAGGCTACAGTTGTAGAGGACAGTATGAACAAGTATCTCAGCGATTTGTAATAAAAACAGAGGTAGCTACTGGCAGAAGCCACACTGAGGAGTGGACATGAGAAACACAGTGGATAGTTGTAGACTACATGTTTTCTTAATTTGAAAAGAGGCCACATGAAATGGTTCAGTAGGTGTCCAATCATTGAACTCCAAGTGACCTGAGGGCTCATTTAAATATACCCAGGGGGCCCACCCTAGAGCTTCTGATTCAGTTTTGGGTAGATCCAAGAAGATCCCAGGTGAAGCCCAAACTGCTGGTCTACAGTCCACATTTGAGGACCTACCAGAAAAACATAAGGTGTATGACATTTTTCTCTGTTTCACTGATGAACCCAAAAGATCTAGATACTTCCCCTTGCCAGGAGAGCAGAAGGATTTCATGAAACTCATTTATGTATGAAGAAGCTGTAGCCTCTGTGTTCATGTAAAAGTACTCAATGTTAGCAGTCCTGGCCTCACCAACAGTGAAGGCTGCAGAAGAGGCCTGGTGTCAGCTCACCACAGATAAATGTGGGGAGTAAAGGTGCCCCGCATGGGAAGCCTGGGCACTCAGTGGAACCAACTGCGGGGCCGTGGCTTTCTTCTAATTCAGCTCACGGCGGTCAGATTTTCCCAGACAAGTGCCCAACAAAACAAAAGCTGTGGATTGGGCTGGAGAAGGGGCCCATTTCCAGTAACCAACAGGTGTTGACAGACTAATGTCTAAGAGGCCGCAACAGAAGAGAGGAGTGCGGTAGAAAGTGACAGCGTGTGATAAGAACAAGGCAGGATACTCGTGTCTGCTTGACCTTCTGACAGAGCAGGGCCTCCTCACTGGCCAGCTGCTTCAGCCCTAAGTCCACACTTAAAGCTACAAATGACAGGGTCATGGGCTGAATCTTCAGTCCCTGTGCGCAGCCTCTACTGAGAGGTCTCTGGGTACGGTGTCCCCTTTGCTATGAAGAACACTGCTTAGTCTAGACAGAAGCCTTTTCTCGGGATGCATCCCGGTAGTAAGACTGAGAAGCATGTGGATATCATAGGCTCAGGGTACTCTCTCCCGCCCCTGACAGTTTTGCTTGGCATTTCAAGTCAAATCAAATGCTTTCTGGAATTGGATCCACTTCTCTGTTTGCCTTCCTACATCCCAGGAATCACAACCTACTTTTAAGTAGAAAACCACATAGAATTCATCCCCATCAAAGACAGTAGGCCAGCTGGAGAGAAGGTGACAGCCATACAGGGAGATTCTTTAGAAGGATGTGTGAGCCGCCGTGGCAGTCGCTGGTGCAGCCTTCCGGCACTAAAGCTCAATGCTGACAGTGTTCTTCCTAGCTAACACAATTCAGAGCCCAGAAGGACTAAGTCAACACCTTCAAGGGACAACTCACCCAGTCTGCCAGGTCAGGATGTGGTGGGGACTGCTTGGTGGGGTTGCTCCAATTTCACTTGACGGCGTTGAGCTTCTCTGGCTTTGAGGTAAGGCAGCTGTATGTAGTTGGTGTGGGAAAGGCAGGGAGAGACAGGTAAGACAAAGGAGCTTATAACACAATGGCAGACCTTCAACCATTGCCAGACATGACCTTGTAGGCAGGGTCTCTGACCTCATGCCATAGTCACAGTGGGGAAATACCTTTGTACTCCCAATTGCATTTTCTCCTAACTACGTTTCTCCATTCTGACTGAGGCCAGAGGATGGCTTCTTCAACTGCACAGAATGGGAAGCCCCTGTATTTTTGTGGTGGAGACCTGAGCTTGGAGGGCTGCCTCGTGGCATTTTAGGTGTGGCCCCTATGCGAGGGTCATGCTTTACTGTAGGAAGGGCCTCTGGAAAGTCCTCTGCTGTCTCAGACTTACCAGCTGCTACTTCAGTAACCCTTCAAATGAACAGAGCTTTTAACAGCTCACTTAAACAGGAGTTTACTGATGGTGGAACACAGAGAAATCTCATTAGGAGAATTCAGCACCAAGTAAATCCTACTTAAATGCATCGTTTGCATTGGTTGGGGTAGGAAGTTGGAATCCTTTTCTTCTGTCTGTCAACCTCAGATACAACTTACTAAAATCTTAGTAATAATATCTGCCCACTATCATTTGGTAAAGCCTAGCCACACAAGCACAGCAGTTTTGAGAGAATGAAACCCTCCTATCCTTTGGCCATTGGTACTTAACCGTGGGATCTAAGAGGACCAGACGTGATCATGACCTTCAGGTGGCACACAGAGTGTATCCATTCCCAGGATCTTTCTGGGAAGGTAAGTAAGCAGAGTAGGAAGGTGTCGGTGTCGTCCATGGTGTCCCAGGACCTCTAGCTCATCTGTAGCCTAGTCTCTGGAGCTTGTGTGGGATGTGTGCCCTCAGGAAAAGGACGGTGGGGATATAGAGGCAGAATGTACCTCTTCCAGGTGATACTCGTCCCCAATCCTTGGTTTTATTCTTGTACTGCTTACTATTTGTCTGGGAGTCCTTCCTCGTTTTCTGCCTACTAGAGTCAAGGGTTGGAGTTTTTTTTTTTTTTTTTTAACCACAGTCTGAGTGGTAAGAGTATACAGATGAGCATCCCAGTGTAGCAAAGACAAGTGCTCAGCTAAGGCGGGTTATTAGATTATTTCACAGAGAAACTTCTTAACGGAAAGGACAGTCCTCCCGTCTTTTACTGGACTTGGTACTGCTCAGTGGGTTCAAACCTCGGTGACACAGTATCAAGGATACTGAAAGTGCTGTTGTGATGTCTGTGAAAAAGAAGTTACTTTGTGATTGTATCATAGCCTCATTGGAATAGCAAAGCCAGGAGCAGCCAGGCTACTTATGCAGGGCAGCTGTCAGGCTCAAAGAGTAAACACTTCTTTCCCCAGGGCTTCAAGATCCCAACCGTTCTTGGCAAGATTATAACTTGGGTCTCTAACCTACTAGAATTTTTCTTCACCAGGAAAAAGGTGCACCTTTAGCAGGATAAACCCTGAGACCTGACATCATATGGCTTTCTGTCCTTAACTAGAAGGGCTAATGGAAAGCTCCTTTTGTGCTCCAGATAAAGAAGGAGGAAACACTAGTGTTGGGGTAAGAGCCACGGGCTTCCCACATTCCTCAGCAAGGCCTCCGTAATAAATGACTCCCTTTCTTGGCTGCGATGGCTACCCAGGACATCGCAGTCCCTCCACTCTGCTCACCTGATGTGGCCTTGCACATCTGGGGCATCCTGGTGACCCTGCTGTGCGCCACGAAGGTGCTCTGGGAAGAGGTGCTGTACTGAGAGCCGCTGTCTGAGGAGGTGGAGCTGGTATGGGACAAGCGGCTGTGCTCCTTGTGCGAGGCTGTGGACCGCTGGTACCACTGGCGCAGCTCGTCTGACACTGCAGCACGGCCAGAGCCTTTGTCATGGGCGCCCTCCCGCCCCAACGAAGGAGTCCGCAGGATCTGGGAGCGCGATGGTGTAAGGCGGCCTGCATCACCCTCATCGCCACCCCCACGCCAGCTCTCTTTGAACAGGCCGCCAGCCGTGTAGGAATTAGAGGTCTTGAACTGTGCCTTGACGCTGTAGTGGCCCTCCTGGTCACTCTCCAGGCTGCGCACTACCACGGGTGTGGCACTGCCCTCAATATACAACGGGTACTCCTTGATGCGATACTGCGAGCTTGGCTGGCTCTGGCTGTGCAGGTACACGCCGCCACCCGCGCCTGCAGCCCCGCTGCGTGCTGCCAGGTTGGGCATGCTGCCGGAGCTCGCTGAGCCCAGGGCGCCTGCTGCCCGCTGCCTCTGCCGCTGCCGCTGGCGCGCCTTGGATGGCGAGTCCTCAGCCAGCGTTGAGTAGTTGGCGTTCATCTGCGCCGGGTAGTAGTGCTCTGAGCTCGAGTGACTGGTGCACGACGAGCAGTCATCCATGGGGTCCGAGCCATTGCTGCTACGAGTCCTCGGAGTGTAGAAGTCGGGGCTCCCGGTGTCATTCTCTGAGCCCAGGAGCTTGCCCTGGGACTCCAAGCTGGAGCTCCGATGCCTAAAGTGCAGGGCCAGGCTGTGCAGTCTCGTGGGACTGATGTCTACCGACCTGTGGGGAGACCTCAGGGTTGGTCTTGGGGTTCTGGATCAAAAGGTCCCATGAAAGCCACAGGGCTGGAGTGTAAAAGCCTAGGGGGACTCGGGGCTTCTAGCCAATGGGTTATCCTGGAAAGCCAGGTACTTCCTTAGGTCCCAGGTGAGAAAGGGAGCTAAGAGTCCCTGGAGGCTGGAGCCAGGGAAGTAGATTTACATCTAGGATTTACACAGGGTTTCTGCTAAAAGGTGTTGACCAAAATCCAAAATAGGGCTTTTGCTTTTTAGGGAACCTAAGAATTACTACGTTCTAAGTAGTATGTTAACTCCTTTAAAATGCTGATTATAGGTAAAGAAAACAATTCCCCCATCATACCCCCCCCCCCAAACCAAAACCCAAATCAGTAACAATAAAACCTCTAACTGAGGCACTCTCTGAACCAAATACTGCTCTGGAATGAATATCAATGGCTGTTTCCTATAAGGATCCTAAGATTGAGGGTTGGTGGAACATGGAACCCTAAACAGGAAGGAGACAAATGCCTACTGGTAGTACCAAGACCTTGCTTCTGATCCGCTCTGCTTATCCACCAATAGCAATATGAGATAGATTATGGTACAGAATGCTAGAACTACATATGCAAATTCACAGGGACTCCAGGCTCCACATGCAGAAGTACACAGCCCTAACCAGTAGCCGTCCATGATCTGGCCTTACAACTACTTAGAAAAGGAATGTGCCTTTAATCCCAGCACTGGGGAGGCAGAGGCAGGCAGATATCTGTGAGTTCGCGGCCAGCCTGGTCTACAAGAGCTAGTTCCAGGACAGGCATCAAAAAACTACAGAGAAACCCTGTCTCGGAAAAAAAAAAAAAAGAAAAAGGAAAGAAAAGAAAGAAAAGGAATGTGACTCAGTGAAGCCCATTTTCTGTTCATTCTTTTGAGCGTTATAAATGTAGCGTCCAGAATAGACCATAGGCCTTGTGAGAACGGACTATGAGGACTGGGGAGCAGAGATTAGCCAGGGGTGTATAAGGCCACTGCACTTCCCACATTAACTGGACTAGTCTTTCTGCTTCTACTCCTACTAGGATCCTTGTTTGGTTCTCTCCAGGAGACTGGGATTCTCTGGTTTCACGAGTCCCCAGATAGGAACAGCATCTGTACTGAGTGTCCAGGGTAAAGCGAGCGGAATCCAGTCTGACTAGCTCACCTGTTATTGGGGCTGAAAGGTCTGGACCAGAAAGGTGGATAGTCTGAAGGCCCTGCAGACTCACCTTGTGGAATGGACGTAGTGGGGACTCCGGACGCGCAGGTCTGGAGTGGACGGCATGCTAGACTGGGAATTCCAGTGCGGGAGGCCTCGGATGGGGCTGTTCTGCAAGGAGCTGCTTACTCCTGCCTCAGTACAGCTTCCCGTGCTGGGGAAGCGCTTGTGGCTGCTGCAAGCAGAGAAAAGCCAAGCTGGTCAGGCTGATATGATGTGGCACTGTCCCCAGTGACAGGGGCTGACCAGCGTGGGACAGTGGGTCTAACTGGAGGGAAAGCTTGCCCAGGACGCCAGCTCTCACTGTCCCACTGGAGGGGGCTTTGTCCCCTCCGCCCCTGCAATCAGCCCAGGGCATTGTTCCTGTTCAGGCACCCTGTTGGGGCTGTGTACTTAAGGAAAATGAGGACAGCAGAAGCAGACCTAAAACAGCTTCCAAGTAGCCATCTCTATGGTGCTGGTATTAACCTAGCAGTGAGCTGCTAAAGTGTGCCTTTCATTACTGCAGCTTGGCTCCAGACACCGGCTGGTAGGTAGATGGTTTAGGTTCTGCACCACCTTGGGGATCCTCTGATTTTGGCAAAGGGGACTCTCCTTTGCCATTCTGGAATACTGCTGGCTACAATTTCCTAATTAATTCCTGTGGAATTTAACGGCATTAAAGCCATCTGCCAACAGGTTGATTGTGAGCCAAACCTTTGGATTTTCCCCTTTGGATGAGAAATCTGTACTTCTCCGAGCCGACAGCAGAGGGCTTTGTGAGCAAAGGAAGGGAATAGACGCTGTGGGTGTTGTGTAGGGCCACCCTCGGACTCTGCCAGACACCCCACTTGGGTGCTGCGACCCAGCTCACCTGGAATGACCGTGGGAGGAGCGTTTCTTCACCTTCTCATAAGGCTCGTCTAAGGAGGACTCGCTCCACATTTTGGGCTTTAGGGGTGACTTGTCGTAGTCGGTGCGGTGATAGTGCATCTGCCTGAGCCCCTCCAGGGACTGCGGGGGAGGAGGCCTGTTGTGCGATGATGGTGGCCGAGGAGGAAGTCCCTTGTGCGGAGACTGTAGGGGGGACAGTGTGCTGGTAACCTGAGAGTCTTCTGTCAAGACAGGAAGAGGAGGGAAGGATCAGCGTCACCGGTCCCACAAATCCAACCCACACATCTGTGCCTTGGGAGCTACACATCAAAATATGCCCAAGGACCTTGATGACCCTGCCTCGACTGCTGGTCAATACAGGGCAGGAAGTATCACTTTTAGTTGAGTACGAAGAAAGTCTGAATTGGATTCAGTGCCCCAAGAAGTGATCACTTCATATTAAACAGGCAAAGGTCGTATTTAATTGCCTATTTTTTTTTTTTTTTTTTTTTTTTGGTTTTTCGAGACAGAGTTTCTCTGTGGTTTTGGAGCCTTTCCTGGAACTAGCTCTTGTAGACCAGGCTGGTCTCGAACTCACAGAGATCCGCCTGCCTCTGCCTCCCAAGTGCTGGGATTAAAGGCATGTGCCACCACCGCCCGGCTTGGCCTAATTTTTTTTTTTTAATTGGTGCTAAGGAATGAACCCAGGGCCTCAGATGTGCTAAGCAAATGCTCCTGCATGGAGCTGTGCCATGATATATGTTTGAAGAGACACTAGACATATCTTGTTTGCTTTGGGGGGGGGGAGTTAACCTTCCTGAGGATTCTATCTACTCTGTTAATCAGCGTGTCCTCAGGGTTTGAATGACAGCTGGCACCCAGTAGGTACTCAATAAATATTTGTCGGAGGAAACAAAATGAATCGCAAGTGTATCTGTCAAGGGTAATTTAGTGCAGGCAAAACTGGTTCTCTCCCAGCCATGGTCCCCCCACAAGCTACTTAAATTCTTTACAATCTTTTCTGGCATATTTAGTCCTGTGATGTCGGGATGGAGCCCAGGGCCTCGTCCATGCTAGGCAAGTGCTCTCCACTGAGCTATATGCTCAGCGCTGATCAACTTGTTTTGGGGAAAAAAGGTCTCAGTCCCAACAGCACCCTAGCCCTGCCATCTCTGGGGTGCAACCCAGCACATCTGTATGCTGGATGACCTCGAAAGGAAGCAAAGCCATTTATTTAGTCAAAGAAAGAGGTGTTTCACCAGGCATGGTGGCTCTGGCCTGTAATTCCAGCACTTGGTAGATAGAGGTAGGCAAATCAAAAGTTCAAGGCCAGCTTCAGTTACACAGTGAGTAGTTCAATGTCATTATGAGCTGTCTAGGACCTGGTCCCATTAGAAACAACAATCCCCAACCAAAAGGTGCCTGGAAGGAAATGAGCTCTGGGCAGGCAGAGAAGGAAGGAAACTGGGTAGAAATGTGGAGGGGAGGGATAGGGACGGGGAGGGGAGGGGAGGGGATATCAGCAGGAGGAGCCATTCAGCTGGGGGAGAGGGCAAAGCCCAGGAGGGAAGAATTCTGAGTGAGCCCAGATAGCAAGAGACCTTGAATTCCAGACAAGGAGTTGAGATTTGGCCTAAAAGCTACAAGAAAACTTTGATAACTTAAGCATAGATGTGTCAGGAGAGACAAGGGAGGGTTTATGAAGAGACAATGATGGGAACCCGAGGTGCAGTGGCTTCAGGAGTAGAATGGAATGCTCACAGGGGGGAGTGGGGGGGCACGGGGGAAATCAACCAGTCATTTGTAGGATCCTATATCCACTTTCAACTCTTGATTCTTTCATGGCCTAATCCTCAGTCCCCCTAATTCAAAGGCTCTGGCGTTGTCCCTCAGGTCAGACAGGAGGAGGGTCCCTAGCGAGCGAGAGCCTGAACTGGGAACACAGGACACAAGAGGAGGCGATTACAGTTCTCAGGAGGTCAGGGGCCTAGGACATGGGGCAAAGCTGTAATTGTGATGTCTCAGCTAATGACTGAGTACAGCCCTGGAAACTACCAGCACAATGGAACTTCAGCAGCTCGCTTCTTCCTTGGCAGACTAGGGTGGCAGGGATCAGTGGTAGGACCGGAGGTCTCATGTTCCAAACAGGCTTCTGTGTTCTCATGGAAACCATGTCTTTCCCATCCACTAATGCAGCAGACAGTAAAATTTGACCATCAGTTCCTAACAGCAAGGTCAAGACAACTGGGCAAGTAGCTCCCCTGGCTTTCCCCACATCCAGACCGACGGTTATTACTGTGGCAATTATTATTATTGTGACTTGGGTAGGTCTTTTATGTTTCTTGTCTCAATAGCCACTCACCACTGGCTGCCTGAGGTTTTCCTAGAGGGCAAAAAAATGAACTACCAGTTAATAGACTTCCATATAATTAGTGCCCCCGATGCCCAATGTTGTGGTTTAACAACCACAGGAATAGCTTGGAAATGGTTCTAAGTCTGGAATGCTTGTTTCTGCTCTGGGGGCAGGAGGGGTTTTCAACTCTGATTTCCTAAGACCCGACCAAGAAAATATCCTGGCAGTTGCCAGATTTAAGAATCCAACAGGATATAAAACAACAGTTTCCACGGTTGCCCAAGTCACAAAAGGGACATTCCCATTTCTGTCTCAGAGAAGACAGCAGATAGGCCAACTCCTTCCTGGAGCTCAGACTCCCATAATCTTTGTTATGTAGCCCAAATCAAGTCTATCTCTTTCCTTGTATGTCAGCACTGCCAAAAGGAAGATATACATGATGAAGACTCTTGTGCATATTTTTTTTTTTTTTTTAGTCCTGAGGATAGAACTCAGGTCTTTGCACATAGGTAAGTACTCTAACAGTGAACTGTACTCCCAAACCCTTGTTTGTTTTTGACTCAAGGTCAACTTGCTATATTGCTCAGGTTGGCCTTGAACTTTTGATCCTCCTGCCGGGGTTACAGGATTAAAGGTACCATGCCAGTCAAAAAAAATTTCTTTGGTTATTACAAAAACAAAATACCATTTCATGAATATCACTCGGGGTATCCAACTTTCTGGCTTATGTGGGCCATATTGGACCAAGAGTAAATTCTCTTAGGCCATACATTGCAGAATTGTCCAGCCCATGGCCCACAGGTTATCAGAGCACACATGCGTGTATTTTCTATGCTATTGGAACACAGGGGCTGCATGTGGTCCACAGACTGCAGAATGGATAAACCTGGATGACAAGTGTCAAGGTAGCCGTCACTCTGAGCCCAGCAGTGACTCCTGGGGAAGGGAAGAGCCTGCAAAGAGTTCAGTCACTGTCTCTGCCTGCCTCTTCTTGTCTATCAGGCCATTCCCAGGCTGCATACAGAAAAATCTGGGTTTAACCCGGATTCCACTTTTAAGAGCAGGGAACGGACAAACCTACCATCTTCAAGAACAAGGGCATCGGAGAGGGAGCTGTCTTCACTGGCGATATTTCCATCTAGAAGACAAAAAGTGGAAGTCCACAGGGTTGTTAATACACTCTGGAAACCAAGCCTGTGTGTAGGAAAGAGCAGCCTGCCCTCCTCCCCTGCCCTGGCAACACTCACCCATCTTTTTTTTTTTTTTTTCTCATCAGCAAGGAAAGAAGGCATGAAACAAAGATGCTGTTGGGTGTTTCCCTTGACAGTCCCTGTGGTGGGTTATGAGCACACCCTTCCCACCCAGCTACGCAATGGGCCCTAGTCTTTGTGTACTTATGCCCTTGTTCACCAGATACCGTGGCTCAGCATGTCATAGAAAGGTGGTGGGGCCTGGGGAAGCCACATCATTGTCCTAGAACAAACTCGGGGCAAGTACCAGCTGAACCAAAGAAACCAGCAGCTGTTATTCAACAGATCTGAAACTAGGGGAGGGCACTTAGTTTTGCTCACATGGCAATAAATGGTTTCTCAATGAACTTAAGTCATTGGCAGAGAAAACAAGCTTGCTAAATACAGACTCCATCTCTCTCGATTATCTTCACAGTCACCATTCAATTAAGGAACGCGCCTGAGAGGGAAACAGTAAAATGATCTCCCTCCCACTGGGGAAACTGAGGTACTCTCAGGAAAGCAGGTTTGTCTGCAGTGACTCTACTCCCTGGGAAATGTCAGCAAAGGTCCATCCAAAGTCTTCGGATTCTGGGCTTAGCGTTCTGCTCTTAAGATGAAACGTTTGCCAGGGATCTAAGGAGACTGCACATTCCCAACACAGATGGGCCTGCCTCTGTGATGAAAACATTACTCCGTGGTGGCAGCAATGCAAGGAAGGCAGATTCTTGAGCTTAACAAAAAATGGCTGGAGGCTCACACGGAAGGAGTCGGGAGCTGGCATGAGTAACAATTTAGGAGCCAGTGCTGCTGCAGACCCAAGAGAATAGCCTTCACTCAGCCGACCTCAGAATGGGCTCCCGAGGCCACCTGGTAAGACAGGCTCCCACAGGCTGCTCTTCCCAGACATAGCTCCGATGGGTCTTCTAGATGTTTCTACAGAGCAGGGAAGTTCAAATGCCTTTGAGGAGGCCCCAAAGGAGGCAATGACAAAGAAGAGCTGACTCACTGTGGCCCTGTTAGAAAGTGGGGGAAAGTTCCATTTTCATGGCAAAGGACGACAGAATAAGATATAAAAGATGGGCACTTCTTAGTTCCTAGAGCAAATGGCCCATCCCTTCAGGGCCTGGGCAAGTGTCAAAAGTGATACTGAGGTTCTATGTATGGTCTCTTTCATCTGTGCCTCACATGCAATTGATTATTAGGATGGAGCATCAGGATTACCCATTCCCTTTTATGGATGGACGATAAGGTAGTCGGGGAAGAGACGGTTTAGATCCTGCCAGGATCTGGATTAGGACCTAACAGGACCTGGTTGTTGGGGAGCAGGGCAGGAGCTTGTGGGTGGCACTGACCGTCTATGACCAGTGACGCCCTCTGGGTGGGTTTCTTCCCTGACTTGATGCGGTTCTCGTTGATTGCATTTTCAATCTCCTGCAGCTTCTTCAGTGCATTCAGATAAGAGGTTTTTCTTTGCTTCTTCAGTTTTTTGCTGACATTGGGGTCACTGGCTAGGCGGCGGGCAGCCTCCGTGATCTGGGACTGAATTGCAAACTCTCGTTCTAGGCGTTCCAGCTCAGCTTCCTGTGGGAGGGAAAACCAATGCTTACAGCTTCCAAAGATCCTGCTGCCCAAGGAGACCCCACCTTGCCCGCCTCTAGGCCAGACCTCTGCCCCAGTTTTTCTGATCTTCCTTTCTCCCACCTCTACCAGTGACTGTTGAAGACCCAGCCTTAGAGAAAATTCCAGAATCCATTGCTATCATTTTCTTTCTCCTTGGAGCATAAGATACAGCATGACTTCTGGAACAGCCTTCTGCTACTGCCCTCTGGGGTTTGTTCATGCGTGAACATCTCCTGATCCTCCCACGTATGCCCTGTCATGCATCTTTGTGTGTCTCACATTAGGACGTATCCCCACTCACCTGGGTGACTTCTGGATGCTCCTTCTGCAAGCCCTAACCCTTCTTTTCACACTTGTGTGTTCATAAAAGCCCTTCCGGGCCCTCTAGGAGGCTAAGTGATGTGGGGGTGGGTAGTGGAACCAGTTTTCCCCTGCTCCTAGGGTAGATTTTGGGCTCTCTCCCTTCCTGCCTTCTTGTGCAACTCCCCCCCCCCTCTCTCTCTCTCCCCCCCCAATTGGCCCTTTTATCAAGATGAGTCTCTCTTGTTTCTGGGCCTAGGAGAAACAAGGCTATGGATGCCAGATATGCCTGGGAGACCCAGAAGATGGTACCCCATATGGAGCATGTGCGGCTGGCCTACTGTTCGGGTATCTCCTCTGCAGATGGATGCACACCAGGTGATGCTAGAGATGAAGGCAGACTCTGCCTGTTGTTAGCATCTGTGGATGGATGCAGAAGCCCCTTAAGTACCACACAGTTCAGTTCTCTATTTCTTCTCTTCCCTGGTTTTGGGGCTGTGCACGTAAACTCTCCCTTGAGCTTGGCTACCAGCTGTTGGCACTGCTCTAGAAAGTTTGGTAGCCTTTAGTCAGTGAGTTCCAGCTGGAAGAGGTAGAGGGCTGGGAATGTGGCAGGCTAGGAGGGGTTGGGGCTGATAACTCCGCCTCCTGCCCAACTTCCCGGTTTCCTGTCCAACAACGTGAAGATGTAGCAAGGCTCACCACAGGCTCCAGCCTCCAGGCTCTCCTTCCTGCTGAAAGGCTAGTCCTTGAAAGCACGAGCCAGAATAGAACCTTCTTCCTCTTTTATGTTGCCTCTGTCAGACATTTTGTCGTGGTAACGAGGAAGTAAACTGACTGACTAGTGGAACGGCAATAGTTACTCTGGAGTTTTGAGTATCCGGTGGGTGCAAGGGCACTAGCAGCCTGGGCGTGTTCTAGAAACTCCTAGGAGATATGGGCTCCAATAAAGCCATACTGCACAAACCTGTGATGAACACGGCTTCTCTTTTCCCGGGACCACACATGACCACTGAAGAGCACATGTCTTGTCCTGGGCGATTTGGAGTTACACTGAAGTTTGGCAGGGAGCGACCAAACTAAGGGAGGAGTCTGCCATGTTTCCTGGACCCCACGTCTTCTATGATGGTGGCCCGACAATGTGCCTCTGAGCACAACCGACCAGGCTGGGTGTGTGGGGAGGGTCTACTAAGGAAAATACTCTTGGCCTGATTTCAATGACTTTTGAGCACTACAAGTCTAGAAGAGGCAGGAACCAGGAGTGGGAGGGAAAGTAAGGGCTGAACGGAACCACTTAGAGAGACAATAAACTCTTTCCAAATCCTTCCAGTGCTGGACACACTTGTTCTCTCAGAGGAAGCAGGATATCAACATGGACTCCTGCCCAGAGCCTTGGGACAGGGACAAACCTCAGCCTATGAATTGGGCTCCCTGAAGCAACTGTTTTGGGGCAGTTATGATAGCTCTGGTCCAAGACACTGACCCTGAGATTTGCAGGCAGAACAAGTCTTGAGATTCCAACTGAGTCAAGGACAGGACTGAAAGCCTTGTCTGAGGAAGGGGTCATAGGGCAAGGAGAGCCAGAGGGATGCAGAAAAGCTGCGACAGCGCAGAGCGAGAGCGAGTCCCTTCCCGTCGGGAGGAAGCTCTGCAGAACTCTGCCTGCTGCTTCCTCTGCGGAATTTCAGAAAGATGTACAAGGGCCAGCAAGGAGTTCTCAGAGCCCTGGAGCCAGCTTTCTTGAAAAGTGGAGAACACTACAACACAGCAATGTGAAATTCAGGCGCGGAAGATCACTCGTCAAACACGGGGTGCTGAGATGACGATCCAGCTTTGGGAGACGTCCGACCACGTGGTGCTGGAAGTCACTCCCCTCTTCGGCATCTCATCTCTCTTTGCAGCAGCTGTTCGCTGGGCATCGGGCATGTGTTAAGTATCCAGAGAAATATTCTTCTAGTCCATTTAATCCGAGTGATAACCCAGAGACGTCAGCACCAGGAACTTGACCGTAGGGAAGAGGAAGCGGCCTGACTAGGCGTCACTTTGTATGAACCACTCTGGTGTGCCCAGCAGGCCCTCCACCTGCACGCTGACCTTATTTTAGGAGTATGTCCTTCTCCAAGTTCCTTAAAAAACTAAAAGTACTTTACTTTTCTTTCCCTTCGTGGCGGCTACTTTAGTTGTCGAATGTCTGTGAGCGAGTTCCTAGACTAAGTTAACTGGAGTGGGAAGAAGCTCCCTCAATGTAGGTGACACCATTCCATGAGATGGAGGAAGTGAGCGGAGCACCAGTGCCCACCGCTGTCTGCTTCCAAACTGTGTGCCAGCTGCCTCACACTCTGCCCAAGCCTTCCCAGCCATGACTGTATCCTCAACTGTGAGCCAAAGTAAGCCGGCCGACCTCCCTCCCTCCCTCCCTCCCTCCCTCCCTCCCTCCCTCCCTCCCTCCCTCCCTCCCTCCCCGCTTTCCACTGCTTTTGTCAGGCCATTTTATCCCAGCAACAAGAAACATAGCTAATGTGCTAAGAGGCTTTGCGTCCAGAAGTTGTCTTGAGTCTTCTGTTCGCTAGCTCATTAATCAGTAACTCTAGTCGGAAGAAATTTGGGAAGACCTGAGACCTGAATGTAAACCTGGCTTTTTGTTTCTCTTCAACAAGGGCCGGATACTTTGTGTGTTTATTTATTTTTTTTCAAGACAGTGTCTTCCTGTGTAGTTCTGACCATCCTGGAACTCTCTCTAGACCAGGCTTGCAGGGAAGTCACAAAGATCCGCCTGCCTTTGCCTCCCCAAGTGCTAGGATTAAAGGCCTGAGCCACCACGCCCAGCTGAGCTTTGATTACCCTCAAATCTGAATTCTCTAGTCCCAGCCCTCACCAGTGTACCACCCAACGACAATAACAATCATGTTGAAATATGGCTTTTCCAGTTACAGATGACAAGGGTCCTGACAGACCCTGGACAAGTGTAGGATGCAATGTCCAGGCAGTGATTTTAGCAGCCATGTGACTTAAGATGAAGGGCAGACCCTTTTGTCTTTCCCCAGACAATGAGAACTGTGCCTGGAGATTGGCTTCTTCCCTGTTTTCTTCCACAGGCCAAGGCATCAGGCAAGACCAAGCGTAACAAAGGGCTGGGAGGTCATTACAAAGACAGGTCTATTTGTATGTTACTGAAATATTCTCCCCAATCTTAACTGACCACTTGCACCTGATATTCAGTATTAGATAAACAATGTCAACAGAGATCCACTGGGAAACACTAAGGCAATCAGAGTCATTTATAAAGAGAAGCCATATAGCAACTAGCAAGTTCACCCAAGAAAGGGTGAAAGGGAAAACATAGTCATTTGGAAACAATGAAGAGATTACACAGAACCTAGTAGCTACAGCAAAAGGGGTGATGGGAAACTCAGCCACGCCAGAGGAACATACCTCTCCTTTAGGCAGAATTTTCTGTTCGTCTAGCTTGAAGGCTGTTCCAATTCTTCTCCGAACAACAGGTGGTTCCTCTCCTGGATCCAGGGGATATTCGACAGGTAGTTTGCCTGTGAGCTCCTGCGTGTGCAGAAGAACATTCAGAGAGCTTGGCTAGGACACACATCCATCACCAATCTGATGCACAGGTAAGGCCCCTTAGCATTGAGCACTAAGCGTAAATAAGAGTTCATTTTGTAGCAGGACCTGGCAGTAGAGATCTGCAACCAGCTACTCAGGCGTCTGAGGCAGGAGGATCACAAACTCAAGACCAAGCTGGCCAACTCATGAAACCCCTCCAAAACAAAACAGCCCCACTAAAAAAGATTTGCAGATATAGTTCAGTGGAAGTGACTTTGTCCAATATGTCTGAAGCCCTGAGTTCAATCCCCAGTGTTGGGGAGGAGCAGGAGGAAGAATTCACGTTAGGAAATTTAACCTCTACAAAAAAATGAATGAGCAAATGAGGGCAAATGCCACTCCTCTCTCTACAGAACAGATATGCATTGGGCTTTCCCTTCCCCCCCCCAAAAATAAACTTCACTTGGACTTTATAGAAGTCCATTTTCATTCATTTGCTGATCTAGTGAGTGTCTCCCGAGAACCTACCACATGTGACAATGGCCACACAGCCGGTAAGCAGCAATCAACAGTTGTGCTTTGCATATAAGGTTTTCTTTCATTGTTGTTCTGCTTTGTTTTTTGTTTTTCTCTCTCCCCAAATGAGTTTTCTTATGGAGAGTACTGTTTGGCACATGCCAGGAAACTGCATTATCAAGACTGAATATGCTGACCACCATTTGACACTGGTCCCATATACAGCAGCAGGCTGAACTTAAAGACAGTGACCTCTCCAGGTGTGATGTTGCAAACCTGTATCCCCCAATACTCAGCAGGACTATGAGTTCAAGGCCAGTCTTAGCTACAAAGCAAGACCTTGTCTCAAGCAAAACAAAACAAAACCTCTAACTTTTGTGTGAGAGTTTTAGTAAAAACTAAGCATGAACAGATGATTTATATGTATGTATGTGTAGATACACACACACACACATATCAAAGAAATTCTGGAACTCTAACTGTTGTGGGCACAATGATAGTGAGTAGGTGACAGATTCAACAGTAACCCTGGGTAAGCATAGGCTGCTTGAAGAATAACTCAGGGGGCTGGAGAGATGGCTCAGTGGTTAAGAGCACTGACTGCTCTTCCAGAGGACCCGGGTTCAGTTCCCAGCACCCACATGGCAGCTCACAACTGTCTGAAGATCCAGTTCCAGGGGATCTGACACCTTCACACCAGTGCACATTAAATAAACAATAAGAAATATTTTAAAAAAGAATAACTCAGAATTAGAAGGCCGAGCATTAGTATACTAAGAGTTCAAGGCCAGTCTTAGCTACAAAGCAAGACCTTGTCTCAAGCAAAACCACACTGTGGAAGCCAGATTGGAAGGCGAGAAGTCACTCTCCAGCACCAGGAGAGGATGGAGATGCCACTTTGTGCATTCACCAGGCACATCTGGGCAAGCACCAGCTCTGGCTCTCTGACCCTGAATCAACAGGATGCCACCGGATGCCACAGCGCGTGGCTGTGATGTGGAAGAGCTCAGAAGTGTCCTTCTGCCACTCGTCATCCACAGAGAGCATCTGTGTTCGGAGCCCAGGCCTGAGTGCCCACAGCAGGAAAAGTCAAATCACAGGAGGCGCCCTGAAGCTCTTCTCATGATGTGGCAGGCTGACTACACAGCTACGTGTGCCTATGTGGTATGTGTGTGCCCAAGCACCCCCTTCCTGGGCCTCTCCAGTGTTCACAGCACTGAATATGGCTCCTTGCACCTTCTTTCCTTATGAAGGCATTTTAGAATTTTAGAGCAGGATGGTCCCCTCTTTGGATGAGTGCCTCTGCAATATTCAGCCTTAAAAAAAATTAAAAGGTTCAAGCGCTTCTCAGATAATCATATGTTTGTGACTTCTTACCTGCTCCCTGCCTAGACCTTGTACAAATAAGAACCTGCTAAGATTGTTGTTTTAATATATATAAATAACAAACTGTCAGGTCTTCCTGTTCGGAAACTTAGGAAAAGGAAAGAGAGGTTGTTAACGTTGCCGTGGAGCTGTGACTCTAAAGTGTTTGTGGTTTCAGTCTATATTTCTAAAACGGGGCTACTGATTTTCCACCATCTGCTTGGCAGGACCCAGGTCAAGGTCTCAATTCTCCAGATATTTAATCTGATTTCATAGGTAACGAGAGCCGCATGGTGGGGAAGTAATTTAATGCATGGCAGTGGGCCCTCTGGCTGTAGGACACCCGGGGCTCCCACACGGCCTCATTCTGGCTGCCCTCTTCCCAAGGGGCCAAACAGCATTTCCTGTTCCCTGAGCCTGGAGGATCTTAAAGCCGAGAGGTGGTGGTCGTGGTGGTGGTGTGGGAAGGGGAGGGCGGGTGTGTGTGAGGCCCCTTTATCTCACATGGGCCAAGAGTGAAAATAGGCACACGTGCACAAGGCTTTGGGTTACTGCTACCTAAGTTATATTTTCTGTTCTCAAAGCTATAGGAAGTGGGAGCTTTTGTTGTCCTTAGGATGCATTTGTGCAACTTTTATTGTACGTGCTGGTCTTGCCTTGACATGTTCCTTACATGCTGTAATGTATATTCCTTGCTTGCTTTAGGGACTTCTTTTATTAAACACAAAATAAGGCTTTACAAATTATGAAAGGCAGACACCAAAGCCCAGACATTTTTTTTCCCTCTCTCCTTCAAGCATAGTCTTTGTAAAAATGTTGCTAATATTCACAGTATCACGTGGCTCATTCCCCCAGCCAGGCCCACGGCTTTCCTGATTTGCAATGGATCCGTGCTAATGTGGTCCTGCCTCGAGCGAGCTCCGGTTTAAATCAATCCAGACATAATTAAGCCAAGTTGAAATGTAATGTGATCTCACTCTCCGGCCCACTGTTTCATTCTTCCTGCTGCAAAGCATTATTATCTGGGGGGAGGAGAATCCGCCTCCTGGATTTAGTTAGGGACCCTCTTTAGACTTGCCATTCAGAACTGTTTACCCACGGAGCTTTCGGTCATGGTCTGTGGAGCACAACCACTCCCAGGAGAGCAGCCCCACGCTGTGCTCACGTGAGGCACACGTACATGTGTGTGCGCGCACACACAACACACACATGCATGACCGTATGTGTTACGCTAAGAACGAAGCCTGCAAGCACTGCTAACTAAGAGTTATGGAATAAACATTAGAAGGGAGGAATGGACATTTCAATGAATGTCGAAATGAATTGTGGGAGCCTCTACAAGCTGATTGAAATTGGGACCTGCCCCACATAAGGCTGAAGGAGACAGTCGGTGTGGGGAATGGGGTGCGTACACTTGCCATAAGTCACATGTGGTGGTCACAAGACAACTCTTGGGTGTCAGCTCTCCTCTTCCAGCTTGTTTGAGACAAGGTCTCTTTTGTGGCTTGTTACTGAGTATGCTCGGCCAACTGCCTCCCCTCTTGCCATAGAGATTACAGGCGGGTTCTTCTCTGCCAGGCTTTTATCTAGGTTCTTGGGATTCAACTGATGTCCCCATAGTTGCAAAGCAAGTGCTGTATCCTTTAAACCATCTCTCTAGCCCAGCGCAACATTGCTTTACATAAAAGTTAAATGAATCACTATGTTAGGTCACTAGCCTAGCATGTATGAGGCCATAAATTCAAGCCCGATAACACAAAAACAACCAAAAAAAAAAAAAAAAAAAAAAAAAAAACCAACAAGCCACCACTACCTCCCCACCACCACCAAACTAGGGAAAGAATCAATTTTCATAAAGAAAGAGCTACAGAAACAGTAGATCACCATGTTTAAAGTGATTACTGTGTATCTCAGGTGACATCCTCTTGCCTTTGTTGATCTCCAGTGATGTTACCTCACATCCAAAAAGACAAACTCTGAAGAAGCAAAGCTATCCCAGCAATAAACGGAGGCATAAGCTCCCGCGAAGGAAGACCGTGGTAGGCAGTGTCCTGTGAGGACATGTCCTGTGCACTGCGGTGTGCCGTGCATGGTTTGGGGACTGTTAAAGTGACTTGTCATTTAGCCTCGGGGTGTGTGTGTATCATACATAAGATTCAGCTAGTGACTGTTTTCACTGACACTGGTGTTCCCTCAGTACCTTGCTTCTAACAAAGTATATCACTGGAGGTGCCGGTGTTCCCAACACTGGGGAGGGAGAGCACTTGTTTTCCTGAAAGACAGTCTGTATTGTCTCCACCCTGTCTTTGTCCCTCCCGAAGATGTATGACTTGACAAACAACACAGACTTAATTGCTTACAGCTTCCCGGAGACACAATCTCTTCAGTTCCTCCAGCCTCTGGCGCAGCGTCTCCTCCAGAGCTTCCTGCCTGGATTTCAAGGCAGCCAGCATGTCTTTCTTGGCCGACTGTGAGCTATCTGATTCCTGAGACCCTGTCAATAAACAGCAGGGTTACTAGGCCAACTGACAGGGGACATACATCTGGACCACTAATGAATTTCACTGGCGCTCACACTGCGGATATGGGATTTACCCCGGGAATCAAGGAGCGTGAAGTGAGACAGGTGTGCAGTGTTCCAAGCATGAGGGGTGAATTCCAATACCACATGGAATATATAGCTGCTCAGGGGGCTGGCGGGAAAGCTGACACTCCTGAACAAGAACGCTGTCATTTCGGATTATCTCAAGACACGCCGCGTACCTGTTTTGCTCACACCAGCCAATTTTAATATGGTTTACACGAGAAAGGGGGAAAGTTAAGTTCAAGTAAATGTTAGCAATCTCAATAGAGGTTTTAAATTTCCTTTTGTCTGCTGGAAGATGCTGATTTTTGCTTAGTGCAAAGATAATATCTGTTTACAGTAAACTATCTAAAAACATAGACAGGTATAAATTCATTATGCTGGGTGGACGGCTCAGTGGATAAGTAACCGATAAACTAGGCGCCCAGAGATAACTATCAGGTTATGTATTTCTTTTGGTCTTTCTGCCCAAAGGGACACACGCACACACATCCACGCACATTAGAATTAGAATTCTGTCCATTATTTTATCTCAGTGTTGTATCCTGAGAAAATTCTCTCCTAATGGAGAGAATGTAGCATAGAGGGATGCATACGCTTCAAAAGACATACACATTTTCCACGCTCTCCTGGCTAGAATATCTGCATGACGATTCACTCAAACAGCAGGCTGCTAGATATGAAAACTTTTTAGAAGGCAACATCATGAACCAAACAAAGGAAAAGTGAACCGAAAATGCCAACTGGAGGAATTTAGCTTAGATCAGAAGAATAATGTCTGGGCTGCATTGTCTGGCTCCTGGCGCAGGTTTCTTGCAGTGAGGCTAGTGGCCCTTCTTACCTGGTTGGGGGTATGGAAAGCATGATGTCCCAGAAACAGCCAGGCTAATGGCGGCATTCCTTCTCACACCCACACCAGAACTGTTAGATATGAGCAGGTATTACTGAACATGCATCGAGGGGGCTCAGCATACACCACCAGCAGCATCCAATCATCTACACACCTAAAAAGCTGGGTATATGCCTGTAACCCCAGTGTCTCAGGATGCTGAGGCAGGAGGAACACAAGTTCAAGACCAGCCTGGGCTACAGAAAGCCAGCTCAGAGACTTCCATTAACATAGTTAAACGTGAACATCTCTCCAGCGAAAGGTGCAACACCTTGCTGGGAACAAGCAGAGCTGTAAACAGACGGAGGTGACTACTGTGGACCTGGATCCAGATGTTAATGTTCTGTAGATGTCAATTCACCATAAATTAAGCAATATAAGAAATGCAATCCTAATAAAAATCCCAGCAGGACTTTGTGGCGGTGGAGTGGGGTTTGGAACTGCCTTCCCATAACAGACAACCTTGGATGGTTCAGTGATCAGGTACTGGAGGCTGGCTCCATTGGTAAAGACGTCTCAGAATCCCAAGACATTAGAAGACTTCTACACCTTTGCACTGAGCAGCTCTGCTAGACCCAAGCACCTATAAACATGCTGTGCTATTCTTTGAGATCTCTGATCAGGGAGCCCATATTCCCTTACTCCCCGTTCTTTCAAATGATCCCTATAATCCGAATAATGAAGAATGAATGATCAGCATCTAAGCACAATGTGACTCTGGCTCATCCTTTGCTCTCTTCCTTTTCTGACTCATTTGAGCTTGAAATTGAAGACATCTATCACCGTAAGAACAAATCATCCTTGAGCATCCCCAGGAGCAAAGAAATACTGTCAGCTGTGTACTTGGGTACTATAATTAAATTGTACCTCATTTTAGTGAAAAAAAAAATCCACTGCCTGTATTGTATATTATTCTGTTACGGACGCTACCTTCCAAGCTTTGAGTCATGCTGTAACTCTTTCCCGAGTTTTTGACATGCTTTAGTTGCAGGTGTCCAAATTCAAGAGCCAACTACGGCACACACTTGGTCTTTGCTGAGACGCCATTACCTCATGGTTCTCACAGACTAAATCCAGATGTGCCTTTCTCAGGTATCGCAGCACTGGGTCTTATTGCAGGCTCCCCGCTTTCGCCAGTGGTTCAGATTTCTCATATCCCTGGGCCCACTACTTGGTGCTTATCAACGCTAAACCCTCCCCAGGCTGTGTACATCTAACGCAACCTGGAAAAATCATTATGAATCTTAATTGGGCCTCTTAGTACTCGCCACCAATCCCATTTGAAGACAGGAAAATTTAATGAAGCATTCTCTGCTCCATCCTCTAAAAAATTAATAAGGATGTAAAATGACACTGGAAGGAAGTCAGGCTTTAAAAACAGGCCTGGGGAAAACTTGGGTCCAGAAAGATTAAAGAATTTCTAGCATGAGTGAAAAATTCATCGTTTTCCCTTCACCCCTGCCTAACCTTTCGGTAGGAAATGGTGATTTACTGAGTCAAATCGAAGAGCCCGCGATGTTCAGGAATGGCAGAACACACCACAACGTTAAATTTGGGGAAGCAAGCATATAATTTGTGGATGACTGGTCTGCTGTTATAGGATTAGTAAAGATCTGGCTTTGAGTAGCAGGGTTCATTACTGCTGCCCAAATTATTATTTCTAATAATTAACTTAAATCTCAACCCACATAAGATGCGCTAGAAAGCCTTGGCAGGTTTGGTGGCTCCTGAGTCTTTCTGCGTGTAGCTGGCACCCCAAATGCTGACTGGCTCCGCTGCACACCTTGAGTCTGGAAACTCCTTCAGGAGAAAAGCAGCGCCTGGAAACCAGGCTTCCCCCTCTGCCAGTAACTGAACCAGCCAACTCTGGACACACGGGTTTCCATTTTCATGGTAACTGGACAACCAGGTAGATGGAAAACATCTGGATTTGATAAAGTCTAAGCCATTTGTTAGATGGGTGGCTCTTGAATAAGTCACTTGCTCTTCTATCTCTGAGGTCAAGAATGAATGAGATAATGCTCAAAAATACTTAGCACTGTGCCTGAATTAGGTAACTTCCTCATGTAGGGGTTGATCTACCACAGTGGTGTGGAGTTAGAGAAATCATTGAAATTATCCCCGCCCCTGCTTTCCCATCAAGTACCCATCAAAGGTAAGAACGTCTCTCGACAGTTTGGCATAGGGCAAGGACTCCAACGCTCCACCTATAGAAAGATGCAATGGCAGATGGAGGATGTATCTAAAACCATGTTTCTAAGCACCAGGTCTGCAGGTCTGCCTCTGGGGCTGCTGCAGGTGATGTGGGAATGTGGCTGAGGACACTTGGTCTCCGTTGGCCTCCATCCCATATTCCACAAGCTTAGGGTGGCTCCACGTTTTAACTGTCGCATCTGAAAAGACTCCACTGCTGTCCTGTCTCGAAGGGAAATCTACTAGTTGGAGGCAGGAGATGTGACGGCTTCTCTGTGTAAGAGCTTACACAATCTAAGCCTGTGGCTGTGACCAGGAGCTAGGATATATGGCCACCAAGAGGAGAACTGGCCAACTGCCTTGGAATAAGCCCAGTGAAAGCCTCTCAAAGGGTAGCGGGAGAAGGGGTCCATAGTTCTCTGTGATGCTGAGCAGCCTCCACAAATGACCTTTAGGTATCCCCTGAATGAGGCTCTTGCCTCTTAAAAGGGATACAGAAAGGAAGCCAGCAAACCAGGCAGAAACAAGGGGCAGTGATGCTCTTTGGCTTGGCCACCACAATAGTAGAAACAGAATCAGAAGAATCCTGGAGCTCAGGCCAATGGGAGTTTCTCAAACTAAAAGTTCAAGACACACCAATGATACTTTTCCCCATCCATCTAGTTTTGCTTGTTTACAGTCAAGGTCTCACTATGTAGACCAGGCTGGCCTTGCACTCACAGTGATCAATTGCCTCTGCTTCAAGTGTGCTGGGATTAAAGACGTGCACTACCACACCCAGCTGACAAAAATAATTTCAAGTCTGTATTTGGACTTGGGGAAGTCTGACACTATGATATGTCCACTATCAATTATTTGAACCCATACATATTACAGATGCAAGACCTCTTCAAGGTTATTATGTTAAGCCCGTAAAACTGACAAAAACACATAAATCTGCCATCTTTGAAAAGGACAATGACCAAGAAAGACATCGGGATTGTCATCCCATAGCCACTATTGAACAATATAAAGCTTTGGAGTTTCAACCTTCCGAGAGCCATCATGGGCCTCTCTGTAAAGTGACCACCTCACCAATCTTCGAAAATGCCTCCAAACCTGAAGCACTGATTACCTAATAAACAACTAATTCACGTGATTCCTTCTCAGCCATTAGTCTTCACTTCTGCAAATTTTCTCAACGATACCTTATATCCAGTACAACCTTCTTCTTCCTTCCTTGACCACCCAGACCTCTAGGAAGGATGAACACTCCAACATGTTGGAGGGGGCATGCTTAATTACCAGGCACGCCTAAAGGGTTTACCTCTTCCTCCAGCAATGGGCCAAAGCAAGTGTCTGTGACTGTGGGTGCTAAATAGACTTAAATGGAGCTGTCTGTAAGATGAAGAAGAGGGACGAAGCATCTCTGCTGAACCCAGAAGAGTGAAATGTCAGAATTTATACACTGAAAAAACCAACAGCCCAGCAGCCAAGGGCTGCCTGGGAAGGGATGACAGGAAATAGTGAGTTGGCGTCGTAGGCCAATGAGAACAAGGGAGATGAGCGTTTCTGAAAGATATGGATAATGCATGAATACCATTTTGGGGGTGGAGGGTACCAAGCAACATTCTGATCTACAGGAAAGGGCATTCAAAATAGTCTTTGGACAACAGATCAAGAGCCTACAGTCTGCGGGTCTAGGGGGTTCCCAGGACTGTGTGTTTCAGCTCAGCTACTCACTGGCCCTGGGATGATGGGGAGCAGGTTCTAGAACTTCTCTGAGTCTCGGTTTCCTCCCCTATGAACTGGGCCACGAAAACAAGCTCTTCAAATATCGGGAAGATGA